GAGAGACTGGGCGGGCAGCAGGGGAGCGAGCCCGCTTGGCGCCCGGCAGGTCCCCAGCGTGGCTGGGCGTGACTCCCGCGGGAGAAAGTCCCGGCCCCCGGCTGCAGCACCATGAACAGCTCCCTGGCTCCGCAGGTGCATTTCGCGGGCGGCTCTCAGCCCCACGACTCGCGGGAGTGGAAGGCGGTGATCCCCGCTTTGCTGGGCGTCATCTGCCTGGCGGGCTTGGCGGGGAACGCGTGTGTCATCGGCATCCTGCTCTACAACGCCAGGCGAGGGAAACCCTCCCTGATCCACTCCCTGATCCTCAACCTCAGCCTGGCGGATCTGCTCCTCCTGCTCTTCGCTGCGCCCCTGCGGGCAGCCGCTTACTCCCGCAGCGCCTGGACCCTGGGCTGGTTCGTCTGCAAAACCTCCGACGGCTTCCTCCACACGTGCATGGCCGCCAAGAGCCTGACGACCGCCGTGGTGGCCAAGGCTTGCTTCATGTACGCCAGCAACCCGGCCAAGCAAGTGAGTATTGAGCCCCGCACGATCTGTGCGGTGCTGCTGGCCACGTGGCTGGTGGCCCTGGTGAGCTCCTTGCCGCTCTGGCTCTTCAGCACCCTCCGGGAGCTCGCGGCGGGCTCGCCCGCGTGCGTCGTGGCCGTGCCAGCCCCCGCCCGGGAGTTCATGGCTGCCTTTGTCAAGCTCTCCCCCCTGCTCGTGTTCTGCGCGCCCCTGCTCTGCGCCTTCCTTTATTTCTGGCGCGCTTATGGCAGGTGCCAGCGCAGGGGGACCAAGACCCAGAACCTGAGGAACCAGATCAGATCCAGGCGCCTTACACTCATGCTGCTGAGCGTCACGGTCACCTTGGCCGTGATGTGGCTGCCGGAATGGATATCCTGGCTGTGGGTCTGGCACCTAAAGCCAGCAGGCCGTTCTCCCCCCGAAGGCTTCCTGGCTCTGACCCAAGCCCTTATGTTCACCATCTCTTCAGCCAACCCTCTCATCTTCCTGGTGATGTCTGAGGAATTCAGAGAGGGCTTTAAGGGCTTGTGGAAAAGGCTGACCCTGAAGAAGCCTCTCCCTGCCACAGACAACCAGGAAATCCCAGCTGCTAACTCTGAGGTTCTCCCCGATTCGGTCCCTTCTCCAGAGCCAGTGATTGCTGAGCAAGAGAAAGAACTCCCAGCTGCCCCTCAGGACTTAGAAAGCCTGGAAAAGAAGGAGATGCCCGTCTTTCCCGATGTAGAGCAATTCTGGCATGACCGAGAAGCAGCTCCCGATGCTCAAGACAATGACCCTATTCCTTGGGAGCACGAAGAGCAAGAGACAGTAGGCTGTGATCAATAAGGTGGTTGGAGACTAGAAAGCTACAGCAGTTTTAAGCAGAGGAAGGGTCTTGTCAGTATAGTTTTGTTACTTACCAGTGTGCTTAAGGGATACTGAAGACATGCAAATAATGTTACACTGATGAAATTCTTACCATTTCCTGTGCTCATTAAATGTTTGATTTCCTAATCTGTTACAATATTCATACTTGCAGTATTATTGTAACCCTGTTGGTCCCTGGATATTGCAAACTTGAAGAAGAGCTCTGTGTAAACTCCAAAGCTTGTCTCTTTCACCAACAGAAGTTGGTCCTGTAAAAGGTATCACCTCACCCACAATATTGGGTGTGTGTGTATGTGTGTATATATGTATATCAGGGCAATGCATTTATAGTTCAAATCCTGACTCAAAAATTTTGGTGAAGTGTCTTCTCTGAAATACTTATGTTTTGCACTTCAGTAGCCAAAATGGAGTTAGTTTTTTTTTTTTTAAAGGTGTTTTAGAGACTCGGAATTCAGAGAGCAGAAATAAGGAGAACTGACACAAACCTAACGAAGTAGTCCTTCTTCTTAACAAGCAAGGACAAACTGGTGAGCTGAATTTCAGCATCTGTCTAAATGTCAGAAAGCTAAAACATTAGTATTTACAAACATACAGTACAGATCATGTACCTTTTTGAATTTTCTGGTTTAAGTGCTGCAATGACTTCTGTGGAATTCAATAGTTGTATGGAGTGACAATGCAGAATTTGACTGCTGCAGTTGAAATATTTTCAGAAATATTTTTTTATGAGACAACTTAAAACATGCACTGAGGTCTGAAAAGGTAGGTGAGGTTTGCTAACAGGCCAGAGTTGTCTTTCAGAACCAAAACAATAATCCCTTCTTTGTGAATGTGCATTATAGAGATGAAGGTATATTTAGGCACCTTGTTTTAAGCTAGACATGATTTCTCCCTTCCTCAATGAAAATGTTTCATGCCCATTTTGTAAAGCACTTATAAAGTATAAGAGTTGTCAATGTCAGTTTGTTTTCAACTGTGAATAAAAAGTGAAGTTGGTTTGCCTTACTTAGATCCAAAAATTATCTTCAGTTCCCTGAAATTCAAAGGAGACATTTCTTCTAGTTAAGTAGCAGTGAAGGGACTGTTTTATAAAGCTGTGCTGATATGGTCATTGAGATAGTCATAAATTCAAGAGGAATTACTAGAATAGCATTGTATCTTAACATGGTGATCGGTTTCTATGTGAACACTCCACAATGTAGAGTTGAGAGAATTTCTCACTAGTGCTAAATGCTGTCCTCAGAGCTCTCCAGCTCTAGTGAATTTAGCCATTGGTCCTACCTTGTGAATTACCCCAAGTATTTGGAAATAGGAGCTATCCTACTCATTGGAGCAGCCTCAGACAATGCCCATTATGTAGCACAGACAAGAGCAAACCTTATTAACATGACTGTATGGTTGTATAGCTTAACAAGGAGAAAGATGAGGGGTAACTTCATTACAGTCTATAAATACCTACACGGGGAACAAATATTTAAGTTTTCAATCTAGTAGACAACAGTATAACACAATCCAATGGCTGGAAATTGAAGCTAGACAAATTCAGACTGGAAATAAAGGTGTAAACTTTCAACTGTGAGAATAATTAAACATTGGTACAATTTAACCAAGGATCATGGTGGATTTTCCATCACTGACCATTTTTAAGATCAAGACTGGATGTTTCTTTACAAGATCTGATCTGGGAATTATTTTGGGGAAGTTCTGTGCTGTACAGGTCAGACTAGATGATCTTATCTTGCCTTAGAATCTCTGAATTAATGAGACAGATGTGGTGTTGTCAGGCAGAGTTTGAGCTCAACCCTTTTTTTTCTGATTAACTTTCCAGTGAGTTTCTGAGTCTCAAGACTGCAGCAATGGCTGACAGCATTTCATCTGTGCATATGTAGGAGGTCACAACTGTTCCAATCCACTAGTTATCCTAGCTGTGTACCTCCAGTTTAGACTACTTTATCACCACCACCCTGGGGCTACACTTAAGTCCACTCAAATTTCAGCTAGCGCACAATCTGGCAGGCCTGCTTTCTTATTAGCTTCACACATTAGATAGAAGGCACCATTACGCCCAAGCAGGGAAGGGCTTTCAGTTGGATTGAGTGCAATTCAGGGTACTGATCTATAAAGTCTGTCATGATTTGGATACCTGGCATCTCAGGATACGTCTACACTGCAAAGAAAAATCCACAGCTGGCCCATGCCAGCTGATTCAGGCTTGGGCTACAGGGCTATTTTGTTGCTGTGTAGAAATCTGTGCTTGGGCTGGAACCCAGGCTCTGGAAACCTGGGGTTGGAATAGTCTAAGAGCCTGGTCTCCAGCCTGGGCCCAGAAGTCTACACGGCAGTGAAACAGCCCTGCAGCCCAAGTTGGCTGGCATGGACTAGCAATGGGTTTTTCTTTGCTGTGTAGACATACCCTGAGAGGCCACCTCACTCCTCATGCTTCATTCTGGCAGATCTGACATTCACATACCACTAAATTCCACATTTGCATGGGAGTAGACTAGAAGCAGGTCATTCTTAGTCAGAGGGCCCTTTACATTGCTCATTTAGTGAGATGTTAAGAGGGGATGGGAAGGCCCAGATGGTTTTGTCCAGATATGCTGGTTTACACACCCAATAAAGAGATTTTATTTTATAAGTATAGTGGAGGGTGGGGTGCACTATTAGTACCGTGCTTAAGGTTCTAGCTTGATGTCAAATTTTACAAGATCTTACCTATGATCCACTATAGTTTGTGTGTGTGTGTCTGAAGGAGCAGCTGGGGAGAACGTATCACTTTTTTATGCTTTTGATTTTTAGGTTTTATTGCTAGTGCATTTATAGAAAAACTGATTAAATGTTTGCTGCTTAAACACATTTTTGCAGTGTTAATTTGGGCAAAATTTTCTTAGATCTGTCTGTGATCTGGATTCTCTGAGTTCTTGGAATTTAGATCATGTCAGTTTGTGTGTGAGAAAAGTGCCTAACATGGGAGAGCCTATTAGTACTACTGTAAAATACACGTTAATAAACTATGTAAGAGGAGAATTTTCGCCTTTACCTAAACTTCATGGGTAATACAACTTTGTTAAAAATACAGAAAGTTGAGATCATATTCTAGTGAACAAGACCCCCCCAGCTGGCAAGGAGTTAGCCACTTGATTTTTTTGGGACCTGGAGCACCAGCAATCTCACATAACAGCAGTCCAACAAAAATTCATGACAAACCGATTTCTCTCATTCCAAAAATCTTTTTTTGGAGAAAGGAAGGACGAGTCAAATGGAAGAGAGCTGTCTCATATCAGAAAGGTAGGAACCCACCATCACCACAAAGACACAGATTAAGTACCGAAGGAATACTCACTCTCTTTCAACATCTCAAGTACAATGAACAAAAAAGGATCGAGGGATTAAGCAAACATACACAGATTGAGATTTTTGCGGTCTTTCAAATTTTGTATTGTATTTGCACTTGAATATGATGGTCTAGTATCAAAATTTCATTTGTCTACATGATTTATCACTAACTCATTTTGTCTCATTAGGCAAATGGTCTGTTTCAGGATAGCTAGTGTTAGTTTGGATTTGTTGTTGTTGTTAAAGAGACATCTTTGAGATTTAACAAACTTATTAAGCATGTTCAATCCATATATAAAAAGGGTTGGTTTATTGTAGTTCAAATACATAAACTAAACAATCCCAACATTTCAAAATTAAACTTTAGAAACACAAGTTTAACATTCATAACAGGAGTATAGTTTACAAGAATTACCCAGAAGGGAAATCCACAGTCTAATCCAGAAGTCAGTAAAGATCACTTTATGGTAAATAAAAATATGTTTATACAACCGTCCTGTTCTGGGAACCATTGTTATTTACTGTGTTTCCAATTTTGAGCAAAAAATTATCAGACAAATCTTCACTTGGGCAAAAGAAACCTGATTTTGCCTGTACTTCAAAGTGGGTGGGGGGCGGGGGGAGAAATAAAGCAGACCCGTGAACAAATTCAGAATGGTGTTTAATTTGGTCTCTGTGGGCCTAATTCTTCACTCACATCACTGTCACTCTATAGACTTTATTTGCTTTCACCCTTGTAAATCAGAATTGAGAATCAGACCCTTTGTTTTCAGATTTAAGATAATTTTTTTTTTTACTGTTGCCTTCAGCACGCAATAGTTTAACTTGAGACAGTGTTTTGTCTGTTAAAACAGCTGAACTTGGGTAACCATTAGGAGGAAATCTGTGGTACTTGTGTAGTTTAGTTCAAACCACAAATGTCAATCATCCTTAAGACTTGCATATATAACACTGCTGAAAAGAATGCCTCCAAATATCACTGACATCCACACCTCATATACAGATATTCCATTGTTCTGAGATCTAAAATTACTAGACACAGCCTGCATGGTTGGGATTTTTGTCAGTCATGCCACACAAAGAAAAGCATAAATATCTTAAGTGTTCTCTTTGCACAGAGACCATTTTATGTTCACAAATGCTGCTGCTTCCTCTGTTCCTCACATCGTTTTCAATAGGTTCACGGTAATGTAGATGTAAAAACCGGACAGATGGCTCATGCAAGCTTTTGAATTAACAGACACCCCATTGTGAGAGTATTTCATAATTATTTTGTTGTTCGTCTTGTAGGCTCTGAAGCTGTGGGAGGTGGAGGGGGACCTCGGCGGTCCAGGTCATCTACATAGGATACGATGAGCTTGCGCCTCTCCTCTGGCACACAGTCAAGTACCAGATAACGCTTGTCATTCTGTAAAATCTTTTCTACATCTTTCAGGTGCTGGTCGGATTCTTGGATCAACTTTTTGGATCTGAAATGAAGTATAACAGTTACCATCTGGGCAGCTGCCTGGAAGCCTACATAAAATGCATTGGGAATCTTAGTCCAGTTACTGGTGGTAGATGTCCAAATTACAAAAACTACCCGCACCATTAGAACCTCTCTTGACAGTGTCAGCAGATAGGTCAAGCGCTGAAAGGGCATAGAGACTGAGCTATCCTCTCACCTATACAGATGCCCCATCAGGTCAGGGGTGAGGCACATTGGCAGGAATGCGTGTGTAAAAAATCTTGCACTGCCACTGCCTGTGCTGTATCTGTTCTGTGGATAAACAGAAGACTTCAGTCTTAATGGCCGCCAGAACCATTTATCAGCATTAAATGAACCACAAAAATGTAAAAATAAGAAAAAAATAATCACAATTGAAATTAAGCACTCAAGAAGAAGCAAACTATTAAAACATGGACGTTAAATTCCCAGTTGCAGCTCAGTTTGATTGATGCATCAATCTGGCTACCGCATCAATTTCAGACTGCAATTCAGCCCACTGAGAACAGCAGCAACTGAAATAGAGCTCCAATACTTTACATACAGCACTGGCTGCAAAGGGAAACAAGAAACTGATTAGGATCTAATAAACCTAGTCAGCACCCTTCTACCTCGAGCTCTTTTGCTTCTGGAATGGGAATCTGCCTAGGCCCGTAACATTTTGCAGTAGGCTCCAGACCAGACTGACTTCAACAATTAACTTATTTGTAAAGCTAATACTCAAAGCCCACTGAAGTCAATGGGAGATTTGTTTTTATTTTAATGGGGGTAGGGTTTCACCCTTTGTCTTTTCTCCAAACTCCCACTAACATCACTGGAAGTTTCACTGGGTATTAAGCAGAGTATTCAGCCCTAATTTTTAGGCCTGAACCAAGGATCCTAATTAAACTGTAATTTGACTTCACTACAGAATGAGCTGAATCGCTTGACAATGTATTCAAAATACCCCAAACAATGCTCTCAAGCAAAACAAAAATCCAAAAAGCCCCTGCTATAGAATAGTTGTCAACACTTGATAATAATCAGTGCAGAAACCAACATACAGTGATGGACCTCTCACTACTATGCAACTTCATAGGCAACCTAGTAATCTACAATTTTTGCAGTAAAGCTCCTCAGACACTGGTCTATAAATGTTAAATGGGAGGAGAAAGTGAAATTCAGTTTGTCAACACACTTAAGGTACAGTAAAGAAAAGTCTTTGCTCTTCTAAGACACTGACACACACCTGTACGTTATAAATTTGGTCTCTTTCAATAGCGTTCTGAAGTCAGCTTTGGCAGTAATGTATTTGTCTCTGATGTACTCTTCAAACTCCCTTTGTTTTTTCTGCATGAAGAAAAAGAGTAATACCATAGAAAATGTGACGGTAGATTATAAAGTACTTCATATTAATTTACAGTGTTAAGAAATAATTTTATTATAACTAGTTTAAAGAGCATTACAGAAGTGTTTTTTAATTAAGATTTAAAAAAAAGCAAATATCTGATTGACACAGTGATATAGTTATATTCGTGTGAAATGGAATCCATTTCAACAAGCATTCACTCTCTTTTGCTTTGGATATCGTGGGAAGGCTAGTAGCAATGAAGCAAGACTATTTCTTACCCTGTCACTGGAAGAGAACTTAATGCACCTGGGATCTTCTTTAATGATTTTTTTCACTTCTTTCCATGTTGATGTTAAAGTAATCTTTCAAAAGAGGCAAAAACAGTTCAATATTGCAAATTATATTTAGAGTCTAAGCATACAGTACATATGATCACTTTCCCGAGAGTCCTGAAATCCTCAAGCATAAGGGGGCAAACTAAGGACACAGTAACAATTTTCCTTTTTGAACTCTTGTTTTCTGTAAACTGGTGGATTTTAAGAGAAAAGTCCTCACAAAATTATGACAGTTTCTTATAGTTTAAATTCTAACAGTTCTTCCTAATGCATATTTGGATAATTTCAACAGCATGTTTGTATGCGTAAAAACAGCAATGTATAGAAGCCCCAGCTCAAAGTCAGATATTCATCATTTTAATTTATTTTAGTCTACCATATAAAAAGTGATTAGAATATTAGATACTCCTCTAACCAATATTTAATAAAACTGCCTCCTGAGACTTGAAGAAAGACTTGAAGATGAAGCCAGAATGAGATAAAAGGGAGGCAAGAAGTCACAAAATAACAAAGAAAGGAGAGAGAGCTTTAAATAGCATAGGTATAGAGTTGAAAGTTAAGAATGAATTGTAGTTAAGATAAAAAAGACAAGGTGAAGGATAGCATTCCAGAGGCTTGCCCACCGCTATTCATTAAGACAAGTTATTGGGTAGGTAGGAACAAAGACAGAAGATTAAAATGCTCACGACATTAAGGGACTGTGTCATAACAGAAAGTGTCAAATAATGCAACACTGAAGAGATGTGGAAAAGCCAATGGAAAATGAATGATGGTCACTGACTACAAAAACGAAACCAGGTTCAAGAGCGTGAAAAGACTGAATGTGAAAATGGACCACAACATTCAAGGTGGTTACTGTGGTATAACTGGTTAGGTGAGAAAAAGATTATTCTTTCCAGCATTCCCTTTTTTAGGGAAGTGAGGAAAGTTGGTGTGGGAGAAAAAGCCTAGGGAAGAATTATTATTGAGAACTTTAACTACAGAAGGTAAAGCTAGAGGATGCAAGTCAGAGTCATACAGTTTAAGGCCACAAGGGACCACTAGATCATCTAGTCTGACCTCTAATACATTGTGACTGACCAGTGCACAAGGACCCCGCAATAGCAGAGAAATAATTAAATGAGATATTATCCAGATGATCCTGGCAAGGATCCTGTATCCACACACTGCAGAAGAAAGCAAAACCCTCTCAAGGTCACTGCTAGTGTGACCTGGGGGAAAATTCCTTCCCCAACCCCACACATGACGACCAGTTAGACTCTGAGCACGTGAGCAAGAACCAACCAGCCAAGCACCTGAGAGACAGAATGCTTGGTGCCACCTCAGAGCCCTGGCCCGTCCTGTCCAATATTCCATCTCCAGCCATGATGATTCCTGCTGCTTCAGAGGAAGGAGATAAAAAACCCCTCCCAGAATACACTGGGGGACAAAAAATCCCTTCTGGACCCTTGCCAGTGGCCAGCTGAAACTCTGAAACATGAGCTTTGGGAACATACCAATGTATCATCAGGAGCAACCCTGTTATACAACTGCACTCATAAATTTGTCCAGCTCTCTCTCAAAACTAATTACCGTATATACTCGTTCATAAGCCGAATTTTTTTAGTAAAAAAGGGAAGCACCAGAGAAGGGGATCAGCTTATGAACAGGTATAGAGAGGGAGAGGTGGGACACAGCCCCTCCCCCCAACAGAGGGAGCAAGGAGAGGCAGCACAGCCAGAAGGGAAGAGGCGGGGCCAGAGTCTCCCGCTTCTGGCCATGCTGCTCTCCCCTCAGCCTCCCAAGCAGCTGCAGCTCCGGGGCTGGCAGGCTGCAGCCGTGCTGCTCGGCCCCGCCCCCCAGAGCAGGCTGTGGCCGTGCCGCCTGGCCCGCCGGAGCACACTGCGGCCGGGCCATCCGGCCCAGCCCACTGGAACATGCTGCGGCCGCACCGCCCCGTCTGCCGGAGCAGCTCCAGCCATGTCAGAGACATCCTCCCCTGGCCCTCCCCAGATAAGGTGGGAAGGGATGGGATGGGGAGAGTGTGGGGGTCCTGGGCTAGGGTCATGTGGGAGGTGGTCACAGGGGTTACTCCCGATTCCCAGCTTCTCCCCCCAAAAAAATTTCCCCACCAGTTGCTGTCCCGGCCCGTCAGGGTAAGCAGCTCGCACACCGTGACACTTTGTTTACTTAGGTTATAATATAATATAATATAATATAATATAATATAATATAATATAATATAATATAATATAATGAGATATATCTATCTCACAGAACTGGAAGGGACCCTGAAAGGTCATCGAGTCCAGCCCTCTGCCTTCACTAGCAGGACCAAGTACTGATTTTTGCCCTAGATCCCTAAGTGGCTCCCTCACGGATTGAACTCAAAACCCTGGGTTTAGCAGACCAATGCTCAAACCACTGAGCTATCCCTGCGGACACTCGAGGTAAACAAACCATCTCGGCCCACCAGTGGCTTATCCTGATGGCCCAGGAGCGAAAGTTTGCTGACCCCTGAATTATAGGGTCGGCTTATGAATGGGTTATAAAATTTTTCCATTTTTACTTATCCATCTTGGGGTGGGGGTCAGCTTATAAACGAACCGGCTTATGATCGAGTATATACGGTAAGTTGTTTGTCCCTACCACTCCTATTGGGAGGCTGTTCCAGAACCTCACCCTTTGGATTGTCAGGAACCTTCTAATTTCCAGCCTGAATTTGTTTACGGCCAGTTTATATCCATTTGTTCTTGTGTCAGCATTGTCCTTTATCTTAAACAGCTCTTCACTCTCCTTGGTATTTATCCCCCTAATGTATTTACAGAGAACAATCATATCCCCCCATAGCCTTCTTTTTGCAAGACTAAATAAGCCAAGCTCTCCCAATTTCCTCAGATAGGCCCTCCATTCCCCTGATCATCCTAGCAGCTCTTCTCTGCACCTGTTCTAGTTTAAATTAATCTTTCTTGAACATGGGTGACCAAATAAGGTCTGATCAGTGCCTTGTATAATAGCATTAATACTTCGCTATCTTCAAATGCCTGGCCCAATACACCCTAGGATTGCATTTGCCTTTTTCAAAGCCACATCATATTTGTGTCTCATAGTCTGTGATCGACCCACACACCAGGTCTCTCCTCCTCTGTCGCTTCCAAATAATCAGCCCCCAGCTTGTAGCAGAAACTCTTATTATTAGACCTTGCACTTTGTACTACTGAATTTCATCCCATTTCTGTCACTCCAGTTTTCAAGGTCATCCAGATTTTCCTGTATAATATTCCGGCCCTCCTCTGTATCGGCAATTGACTCTCAACTTTGTATCATCAGCAAGTTTCATTAGCACTCCTACTTCCTGTGCCAAGATCATTAATAAAAATATTGAATAAAATTGGTCCCAAGACCAAAACTTGAGGAACTCCACTGGAAGTTTCCCTCCAATCTGATCATTCACCTTACAGCACAATTCATTGCCTTCTTCTTCTCCTTTTAGCCAATTCCTTATTCATCTTACAATACTTGTACTGATCTGCATCTTCCCTAATTTAACTAATAATTTCCCATAAGGTACCCTGTCAAATGCTTTACTGAAGTCCATGTATATCAGATCAAATGCACTTCCTTATCTACAAAATCAGTTATTTTCTCAAAAGAAGGAACTCTAGTTAGGCTGGTATGATCTACCTTTGGTAAACCAATATTGCATTACATCCCAGTTACCATTTACCTCTATACATTTAATTACTCTTCTCGTCACAATTTGCTCTAAAACCTTGTATAATACGGAGGTCAGACTAACAGGCCTGTAATTGCCCAGATTCCTTTCTTTCCTCTTTAAAATACACTATTCTCCAGTATTATGGTACCCCCCCCAACAGATTTATTAAACATTCTTGCTACTTGACTAGCAATCTCATGGTCCCCCCGATTTGAGGGCAGTAAGCTCTTATCAGAGAGAAGCACCATATCAGATAGAAATGCTTTGAAGTTATTCTTCCACCTCATAAGTGGTCATTTCCATTTCTAGACACTCATTTTCATCAGCTGTACTGCCTTCATGCACAAGTCTCTTACCGCTGAAGTTTCATCCAGAAGTTGCCTAAAATGCTCCCTCTTCTTTTTGGTAAGTGCTTCAATGTGTTCATTAAAAAGCTTCTCTTTCTCTTCTCTTTCTAGCAGAGAGCCAGATTCCCACCGATGATCTTTTCGGAGCGTCCTCCTAGTATCGGACCATGACACATCTGAAGATCTCACCTGATACAAAAATTTACATTTTACAAAAACTATGTTCTTTCTCTGTTTCATTATCAGACAATTCTTCAAACAAACACTTAGCTTCTACTTCATCAACTTTTATCTGAATTAAAACTGCATTTGGTAAGGGGAGTAAGAGACAACAACAGCTTTCATGCAGTTAGCCACTGTCAAATGCCAATCTCATGCTGCAGAGTCTCACTGTGCAGCAGTTCAGATGGAGATAGATACATCCTATCTGGACTGCTCTGCCATTCTCTATAGAAAAATCAAGATCCTCCCCTATGAATAATATACTGTATTAACCATATATGATCTAGAAGAGCAGCCTCTGAGATACATCATAATCAATTCCTACCAGCCACTGGGCACTTTAATTAGTGCAATGTTTACTCTCTAGAACCAGAAACAACCTCCAAGGAGCTCCTGCCAAATCTATATTACCTGCAGTATGTCACTAGCAAAGATATTGGGTCAACAGAAACCAAATTTATATACTGCACCTTCCCCCCCGCAAAAGACAACAGGACTGGAATCTGTGCTCAACCACCACCCACCTTTCAGGTATGCCCACATCTTAGATCAGCAGGCAAGAGGTTCCCCTTACATACCACGAGATTCTCATCTCACCAAGCCTGCCCTCTTAGGAAGTGCTATTTCAAGGGTTGGATCAACTAGTGCAATAAAGTGCTCTCTGAGAAGTGGAAAGAGCTGGGTCAGATGCTATATTGGGGGCATGAGTCGGGCAGACAAAACGAGGTGAGGAAAATGCTCTTGAATCAATAAATCTCCATTTCCAACATGTGCATTAGAGTTTCTAGTACAAAGTATTTACAATTTTAATTGCCTTTTTTGGTAATATTGTAAGAATGCACTTGCTGGATGAAACCTCAGACACCAACTGTAAGGCTGAAGCATATTTTTCCCAGCAAGACAAAAATCCTGAAAAAATAAATGTATCATGGAAACAGAAGTTTAATGACTACAAGTGCTAATGTGCTGCTGTGTAATCAGGGAACTTATTTCTATATTAGTGTAACAATTAGATGAACTGTTCTGGCAAAGATAAAGTCCTACAGTAATCAAATGAGAGAGAGAAGTGTGCAAGCCTCACCATATCAGATAGAAGCGCTTTGAAATTCTGTATAGCCTCTTCTCGTTTGTGCTGTTCACGTTCTCGATCGATTTCCTTGGTCTGCTCAGAACGAGCTTTCTGAACCTCCCTTTCTCTTTCACGCAAACTTGCCTCAATGCGAGCCTGCCTTTCCAACTCCTTTTCCTTTTCGGAGTCTAAATTCTGAATCAGAAGCAAGAGCATAATATTTTCCCATTAACAACATATAAAGAGGTAGCATCTTTCATATTTTGATTAGCTAGTCAAACAAGTTAAAAGTTGAACAGTTACTGGAAACAAGAGGATGAGTATCATTAAACAGACTGTCATTTATGAAATAGGTAAAATGAAATACACCACTTCTGAACTACCAAGGTTTGTCTGCACTTAGGGCATTTTTGAAAGAATTCCTTCTGTTGCTAACACTGACTTACCGGCAGTGTTAGCAATGTTGAGAGCCATATAGTGTAGACAGGGTGCTGGCTGGCAACAATAAAAGCTAATCTTGCTAAAGATTTTATTTTGTGAACTTAAAGTGGAGGAAAAGCTCAACAGCGGTATTAAAAATGCTGTGCTTCAAAATATCAAAGACCATTCAACCATTTGTATGTGGCTATTGTAACATCCTTAAAGAGACATGCCTCAACCCATCCCACGGAGGAGAAATCAAACCTCAAAATGATTGTCTGAATGATGAGCCTATTCAGTTCAAGTACAACAGATAAATCTTGTGTCCATCCCACCTCTTTGGGACAGATGTTCCCCTCCTCCGCTCATGCACATGAAAGCAAAGGAGTGAGCTGAACTGTATACTGCTTTTGAGCCCCCAAAAATCTCATCTTCTAAAAATAAATATTCAAAACTAATACAACTGAAAGAAAGAGAGGGGAAAGTGATGTTGTCTGATGGACCGTGCACTGGACTGCTATGACACCCTGAACAAGTCACTTCACCTTTTTGCTCTTTATGTAAAATGGAGATAATCCTTCCTTTATAAAGTGCTTTGAAATCTATGGATTAAAACCTCTGTATAATAACTAAGTGCTATTAAGTGACCACTGCAGGTTTGTATCTTCACTGGATGGGAGTTGGGGAAGGAAACAGATCAGAGAGCAGCCACTTTATGAAGCACGCTCCCCTGTGTAGCGACAAACTCAACTGCAAACTGCTGTGGAAATTAATGCTAGTTAGACTATTTTTAACTTCTCATTCATGGCATTAGCTCCTTGAAGAGGCAGGTAGGAACATGAAACAGAAGTGGAAGAACCAATGGAGGCACTGCATATGAGCCAACTGGAGTTCAGCTGAAAGGAAACCACATGAAAGAAGGAAACCTCTGCTGGTCTGGTTGCATTCCATGTGTATCACTACAAAAGTGATAGCATTACAAGTCTCTCAAACTGCTTAACTATATTAACAACAGTGTAGATAACAGTGAAAGTATTACCCAGCACCTAACTATTACACACATACCTTAGCTATTTTTTCAATGTATTGTTTAAAAAGGTCTTCCCTCTGTGAAGAGCTATCCACTGCTTTGTAACGGGGGTCAGTCTCTACTTTGTCCTTCACTTTGCTCCAGCGAGACTGACTGTCCAAGTGGTGATTAGACAGTAGTTCAAAGAAGTCCATTTTAATCTATATTTTAAATAGAAGATATAGGAAGAAAAACAATTCATGAGTAACAGGATTCCTGAATGTTTGCTAATAGAAAAAGAGGCAGACTTACCTCAACGAAGCGAACTATATGAATTTTACATACTAGAACATCAAAATCGCTAAAAGTATATTGAATTTCAGGGTTCATTATCTCTAAAATCCACTTCCACTTTGGGTATAATTTTTGTGAAATATATTAAAACAGAAACACTAGGAAGACTATCAAAATCTAAGATGAGCTGTATATCTTAAAGAAATATTCATCCGCACACTTAGTTTTCTTGCTCTACTCTAATTTAAGCTTTCTTGTTGAGCTTTTAAAATATAATCCCTCCAACTTCTGTACTGCACAAACCAGTATTTCAGGGCAACCATGATACAGAAGCTAGTTAGATTTGAAGCAGAGCCCTAATTAGGTAGCGCAAATACCCATGGGTTCATGCCTCAAGTATACAGTGGATGGAGGTATATACTGTATCTGCGATTAAACAGGAAACAGTACAAAGACCTCCTATTTAAGATCAATAGTGGGATTTTAGTTACACTTCATTAAAACTTTTTAAACTGAACAAAGATATACAGAACTTAAGTATATAATGATTAAGTCTAGTCTTAAGAAGACCGATATATTCAAAAGTGGTGCCCAAATGCTGTAATTCAGTAGTTAAATTTAAAATATATTATTCACGTATAAACAAATATTTGTAGCTACTTCCTTTAAAAAATGGAAATGGCATGTTACATATAATAAAACCCTCAACACTGTACATAGCTACAACATTATGGAAGATTAATAGATCTGGTCCGATGCTAACTCTGGACCTCAGGACAGAAGAACCAAACTAGCAATACAACATCACATCAGCAGTTGCAAGGGCAGCTACTGTTCAGTTAGTAAAGATTTTTAACCCTGGGGTGGATGTTCCTACATGTCCCTTTTGGGATTTTAGGATTTTTTCTTTAATTCCCACCACTTCAAACCCTCAAGGCCCTGGCATTTAAGCCACCATCTTTCTCAATCAAGAGAACAATCCTTCCCTTGAGAGGCAAGTTGACATCACTTGTTGAAGGGCTAGAGCCCACTGAATAGCTCAAAGCACTTTCTACCCAGGGTTAAGCATGCTGCCTTCACAGCACTACCAACCCCTGGTGGCATAGGAACAAGACCATAAGTAGTTCCTTTGCTGCAGTATAATACTACTACCTAGCTTGGGCTGGCTTGGCTATATATTTTGCACTCCCCCAAAAGTCTCAGCTCCCACATACAGAGGTTAACAATGGGAGTTGAAGACTAATGTAAGGCTATCAAAAAGTGTGTGCCTTATCAACTAACTGAAACCTTCCAAGTCTCTTAAAATGACATATATATAGTTATTACCACATATTAGGGTAAAATTAAGATCAGAGCCAATATTCTGCAGGCTTCCCCACTGATGAACTTGGCTCTCGACAGTGTTTTTATTGCTTAAGTTTGTAAGAATCTTTATGGACTTTTCTGTGCTATCTCAAGACAGGAGACAAGTACAAGAGAGATTAGGAAACAACTCCTTAGTGTTACAGTGAAGAAGTTTGTAACTCTTCACCTACAGTACTGTAACTCTACCTTAGAGTGTTGAACAAGATGCAAAGCAAAACCTTATACTTATTTTATAAAATGCTGTATGTTGTTCCAGAATTGATCTTAAATAAAACATGCAAGCAGTATCAAGATACGAAGCTTTCTAAGCCATGAGCATTAGGAACTTAACATCTTAGAACTCCTTGTTTTACATTTTAAATGTATCACAGAAATCTATAAAAGTAAGGGTATCTTATTGGTCGAAGTGTAAACAGGAACACCCTTTTGTAATATATATCTGCACAGAGACAGTATTTCTGCTTCCTTTTTACACTGGTCACTGGCTATTCATTAATCCATCCCGAGAGCCCGGTGAGAGTCCACAATATGCAGTGGTTCCTCTTACAAAGAGAAAGGAGACTAAAACACTGCACAACCAAAGCACAACTGCAAATAGCAATGCATTGGCACTAGCTCCAGCTCAAGAATCAAAACAACATTTTTCCGTGTTACTACAGAAACAGTTAGCTGTCTTCCCTCCTCTCCTCCTTTAAAGCCAGCATGATCTCACAACTTAGTACATTTTCTTCAGCCAAGAAGGAACTGACATTGTCTTAGCTGATTGTTACTTTACTACTGGCCTGTTTAGTAGTAAATGAGATCATGTAGCCAGTAGCTTTCTTCCTCAGAAAATGCAGTGCCATTTTCAACAGTCTTAACAGAGGACAGAATAAGCCTGTTTCAGCACCAAAAACACCCTTGATTATATGCACATGGCACAAGGCAGTGCACTAAGACAGGCCGCCTCAAGTCAATAAGTGGGGAAGGATATTAACAAGCCATTAATTAAAACAATAACATGACAAAATTTTGTCATCTTGCTATATAAGGGCTTAAGATGTTGCCAACTTAAGTGTCCTGAACTGAGAAAGCACAGAGTGCAATGCCTAAACTAGAGCAGAATGGCAGGTAGGAAGCTATTAATAAGGATAATCAGGGTTAGATGGAACAAAGTTAATGCACTAACCTTATAATCTTGGCAAAGTGAGTATACATATGGCTGAGACTTCAGCTTAGATTGAGTTTGTTGGCCTTTTATGCTAGTTTTCTTGCAATGTCTATTTTGAGGAGAGGCCAGAGGAAGACAGGAAGTGCTCTGGGTCAGTGTGATGACAACTTGCAGAAAAGCTTCCATGTTACCAGCTCATATCACACTGGATTCCTTCATTTCTTCACCATGAAAATTCACACACTGAGCCAAACTTCACTCACCTTACTCACTTGAATAGTACCTATGGAGTTCCACTTACTCATATGAGTAAAGGTGGGCAGGATTTGACTCATTACAGTGATAAAAACGACTATATGACCATCTGAAAGAGAGGCTCCCATGGCATTGTTTAGTATAATAAATCTCAACTGAGGAAATCAAAACCATATTTCAAACTCTTACTTTAAAGATTTCTGTGGAGAGCTTATTTTCTTTATAGAAAATCTTTGGATTTTTAATATTGGCTGAGAAAGCTTCACTTTACAATTTAGCTGCCTTATTTTATTTTATTTTACATTTTTTTAAAAGCAAACAAAAATAAGGCTGAAAATACTGCAGGTGTATTTAGATTTTTTTTTTTTTCAGTCAACACATTCTGGGCACAACTCTCATCACTTCACAAGGAAAAAGCTAAAAAAATGTAAAGTACCGGAACTGCGGGAGGCTAAAGTCACCACACAGAGATACCAATTCTTTCCTCACTAGGGAATCCCATAATACTTTGCGTGTCAGTGATTGACAGCTGTCAGACTGAACTGATTGACAGGCCGCACAGCACATAACTGTAAAGTCTATCCACTTGTTATAAAACAGAATACATAAAATGGTTACAAAAGGCTTTTGGAGAAAGAACATTAGTTTCAAGTACAAAGAGAAATACAGTCTTTCTTCTTTTAACTTGTCTAATTTAGAATAATCATGCAACATTAAAACTAAAAGCATTTACATCTCTTTAAACTTTCAACTAGACTATTGCTATGGTGCAAAAACAGTGTTTTAAAATTCCACATTTGTGGTTCAAATACAGTATGTAAAAGTTTAGGTATAGTTTTCAATTAGATTTCATTCGTTTTCTCTGAAAGCATAATCATTTGTTGAAAACATGAGCAATAGAATAAATGTAATTTAAAAACCAATAATGCATTTAATTAGAAGAATCAAATTCTTTACTTTGGCAATATTTATCCAAAATTGCTATTTCAATTATTAAGGTATTCCAATTCTTGTATGCCACAGCATTTTCTCTTCTACAAGTGTCATGCTACTCTCTCACCACTGCTTCCTAATAAGTGGAATTTACACTAGCTCTGTTTTACACAATAAATGTTGGAGATTTTAAATGTCAAAAATGATTAGGCTTCAAAGGTTATTTTTCTCCATTCACACAACACACAGGGACATTTAGGAAAGTGGCTGCATATTCTGATGGTAACACTATTGATGCCACCTCCATAGCAGTCTGTTTTCCCAGTGGTGAGCGCTTGCTCCTGAGTATTGACATCGCAGCCAAATGACATTTGGAATTCATTAATCTTTAATAGTCGACCTTTAATTCTGATAAGCAGTAATTTATACTTAAGGTATGTTTACTGAAAGATTAGAAAGTCACTAAAGTGCTACCTTTTAGGTAGAAAAGGAGATAAAGCAGCTTTTTAAAATTTAAATGGTGTAGTCTACAAAGAATTCTGAAATATTATTGCCACCACTGAGAGAAGAGGAAGGTAATGGCCAGTTCTGGATTTTCTACCCAAAGAGGACAAGCATCCTTTTCATCCTCCAGGATGTCACCTTTTTTTTAAAAAAAAGACAAGTATCATTCCAGTTAAAACAGCATGATGTGGCTTTTTGGTTGTTTTTTTTTTAATATAATGAATTATCAATGTATTTGCATTGCCTAAAAGTTGATATATCTGCAAAATTAAGAAGATTAATTTAAAAGGCCATAAAAAAGCAGTAGTCAAATATTTGTATTTTAAAAGCTGTAAGGCTGGGGAACAAACATCTCAGTGAAAGAACACTGGAAACCAAGTACTGGCTTTGTCCCATCGCATTCAAGCCCCCCCCCCCCACTCACGCCACTGGAACTAAAGCCACTTTCCTTACCTTCTCACCTCTGGTCTTCGAATCTTCCTTCTCCTTCTTTCTTGCCGCTGTGATAAACTCGTTAAACAAGGCCTCTCGATCTTTCATCTTTTCAATTGCCTTGAATCTCGAGTCTTTAGCATGCTTGGCTGCAAATTCACTAAAAGTAGCTCTGTAACAAAATGGCAAGTGAACTGATTTGTTCGAGCTATCTTTGCTGTGAAGTAGGTTCAGCAGAAAACACCATCTCTTCTGCTAGATCACGTGCCAAAATACAATTAAAAAAAACAACAAACCCTCTGTTCTCACTATGCAGATAATTGATCAATAAACTACAGAGAGGAGGAGTTGGGTTAAGCAGACACAGAAGAATATTGTTCAAGACTTATTCATAAATTATCTGTGCAAGTGTGCAAGTTTAGGAAAAAGATTACAATGCAACCAAAGAAAATAAATTTACTTAATTCAATTGTTTAGAACACCTTAACTTTTTGTGGATTAACACTGTAGTCCAGCCTATCCAGATATTTCACAGCTGTGTGATCTAAAATTTACATGCACTCACTTGCAGCCAAACTGTGCTAAGAGTGACATTGAGAAATTCAACATTTGGTGTTAGTCAATGTAGAACACTGGATAAATTAATTTTCCTGCAATGAACATTATATAGTTTAACCTTATGACACAAGGAGTTGGGATATTTTTAACACTGAGCAGGTGCAGTAGTGCAGGGCTTTCCACCCATTATCTCTGTAGCATTTTCTTTACAGTTCTCTCACCTCCAGGGCCAGATTCCAATCTCAGATGTGCAGTAAATATAGTACTGCCACTTACCTCGAAAAAAAACACTACTGTGCTTTTTCCAAGATCTGATGCAAATCTGGCCCCAAGAATACGTGAGACACTTATAATCATACGAATGTGTTCATCACAGCATGGAAATAATTAGACTTGGAAAATCCCGCCTACTGTTGCTGTAGGGTAAATTAAAACAAGAAGAAAATTTGATAGCTTGTTCAAAAAGATTAGAAAGTGAATGTACAGCTATACTGAAGAACACGAGCTGTATAAAAAGAGTGGAATACAAACTTGAGCATGTTAGACTGGGATAGATGATTTTTTTAAAGTAGTTGACACACATGGAAGTGCAGCAATGCCTTAGACAAACAACTGACACTAGAAGATGAAGGATAGGGTAAAAAAAAACATGAAGTCCCTCATCTGGAGATTATATTCTTCTCTCCCATTTTTATTTTTTTTCTGTGCGAAAACAGCTTTTGTCTTGGTATACATAAACACTCACAGAGATAAGAGTTTTAGTTTTTCTTGGATTGCAAAGTACTAAAGTCAATCATTCTGAAGGACATATTTAGCACACCCATTCATGTATTTTAAATACTCAAAATCCCACAGCTGCCAAAAAATGTAATTTTCCTGACAACTTCCCTTATTGGATGTCTAAAAACACTGCTGATTGATTATTGTTTTTACAGATGTGAAGTCAATTATGCTGGTTAACCTAAAGCCTGCACATGCTGGCTTCCAGCACATTTCAATGTATGTCGCTGAATCCATGAAGTTGAAGTGAATCAAATGAACTGCTGTTTTAACATAAAAGAATTCCTGTCTGATCTAGGTTAGAAGTGACACTGAAATACATCCAATGTAAAATATAATGCTTATAAGCTATTAAGTGACATAAGGATGGTTATGAGTTGTTTGGGCGAGTACTGTGAACATGAACAATTCAGGCATCTTGGCACCATATCTAGAATATCTAGTATCCATGCTAAAAACACCAAAACACTTACTGCAATAGATACCCCTGGATGGCATAGATTCATTGTGATTTTTATACTGCAGAATTAATATTTTCTGTAATACTGTGTATGATATCTACACAGCCACAAATATATGATATACACTTTTTCATTGAAGGTAAAGAACAAACCCAAACACGTACACAGTGATTTTCTGCTACAAGGAAAACTTCTCACAGGCCAGTACGATCCGCAAAGGCTACAAGAGCTGCATGAGAACACTCATTTGAAAAAAAAAAAAAAAAAAAAGAGCCCTTTCTCACCATCCAGCCATGTGCTGGGGATTTTTTCACATTCTGAACCAGTGAATTATAATATATCAAACATCAGAAACCCCCAAATTCCAGCACTCTGTTGGTTAGGGAGCCTATAATCATGCAGAAGAAAATAATATATTTCAACAGGCCCAAGATTTTCCTAGAGTTCATTTCCCCCTTCTTTTACAGTTTTGAAAGAGAAAGGAGCAAAAGGGGGGTTAAATTACCTACTGAAAAATAAAGTGTATTTTGACCTGGTAAAAGTTTTCACATGTGAATGTGAAATAAGCCACCTACCTTGGATTAAACTTTGCTTCTTCCATCATTTTCTTGAAATCCTCCTTGGCCTGCATTATTTTGTTTTTCTTTTCCTTGCGCTCTTCTTCTGCTCTGGTCTTCACATACTGGTCAAATACCTAGAGAAATACCAATAAGACATAAAATGTACAAATTTGGAGTCATATTATCCCCTATGAGGGAAAGGAAGGCGAAGAGAAAGAAAACTTCATGTGTTTCAACTTGCAGAGTTTGCCCAAATAGTCTGTGGAAGGGTATGCCTGCTTTGGCCTAGCAAACCTGCAGATCTGACCTCATATTAGTGAGGAAATCTCACACTCACGGATGGTCTCTGTATGACCCCCTGGGGCCCGGGCCCAACATTTAGTTCTCCAATTGCAGGACAATTCCAAAGGAAGCCATTTTACCATATCTTCCCAAGTTCTGCTAGTAGATGTACCCCTGGCAGTACTCAAATATCCAAATAACCAATACCATTTTCCTTTCATTCATTCTTATATATTTACACACACACACACACACCATTATTTTGGAAGGAATTACTAATCCATCCTTGTTAGATACCTCTTTACAAGAGAACAGAACTTCTCCTTTCCCCTAACAACTGATACATTTTATATTAGCTTGGGCATCTTGCATAATCCTGAATATTTACACTAAGGGATTAATTACCATTATAACAGAGACCATTCATTTACGCAACACTCACATATTTGCATGTACTGTAGAGATTGGAATAGCTTCTGTAATACACTCAGAATCCATTCCCAATGCATGTATGGGAAGTGGTGTAATACAGTAGTATTTGTCATCATATGAACATTTCCCCCCATAACTTGTTTGTTAACCTGAGACGTACTTGGAGGATTTAAATATACTAATACAAAAATAAAGTTGAAACATTTCTGGGTCATATGTTAAGAAAAGGGGCTTATTCCTCTCCTAAGCTTTTCAATTTTTTTCCCACTTTTCTTCCTTCATTTGGGGAAAGGATTCCTGAACTGAGTCTGCCTTATAATAAAGCCTGTGCTTGAATTTTTCATTGCTCAGATTTTTAATGTGTTCATTATTCATTCTATTAATATTTTGGTGTGACAATGAAGATGCTCTCTGCTGCACCTGTTTTTTTGGCAGCCTCCTGGCTATATATAACTTTCATTGCAGCAAGAAATAAATCTTACCACCAGAGGAAGTACCAGCTCCTGCTCTTTGTTGAAAATAAAGCATAAAAAACAAACAAACAAAGACATTTGCAATACAGATCCTCAAAGGGGAGGTTTTAAAGAACTATACTTCCACTCAAAAATTATTTTTAATGATATGTATGTCTTGAAGTTAGTTAACCTTTTCTATTACCTGTTTCCTTTCTTTAGGATTCAGAAGCAAGTACCGAGGATCGAAAACTATCTTGTGCAGCTCCTTCTCCCAGGTTGAAAAGGCAGAAACCTTTAAAAAGTAAAAAATAGACTGGATTTTGCCTGGTAATTAAGTTCCCCCAAAGATACAAAGGTTGCGTATTTTGCTTGAAATCTACAGGACATCTGTTAAAAAGAAGACATAACCGAAATCCATCCTGAAGTTTTCATCACTAATAGATGACAAGCGGTGGGAGGTTAGCATGGCAAATTTCCACACTAATTGGCTCTGAAAACTTCTACATAATTACACAGAAGTAACACACATCTAATTACTCATTAAAATAACCACTACTGCGTGGCATTTAAAAATCACTACATCAGAAGAGAACCTTCAAGCTTTGCATTTTGATTTCCCATGACTGCTCTGTTCCTTTGCTAAATGTTCTGAGTTTTTAAATTAAAAGTTTCTCATACACAAATGGATCTTTGGATTGAAAAAATGCCTATCTGTAAGCTGATCTCAACTGAGCTTTTTTGGAATAACCCTAAAATGCCACTGCTGTGGATCAAAACAAAAGATGTACAGGCATCACTTCAAATTTGGAACCTCTTCTCTTTTGCATATAAACATTGCTACCATTCTAGGAAGCCAATGCATCTATAAAAGTCAATTGGTATTGAACAAGCGTCAAACTCAGTTTAATTAAAAAAGAAATGGCTAGTTTTCAATGTTAGCAGAATAGTCTAAGGAAAGATGAGGCAAAAGTTTTCCTCCTTTCATGTTGTGATCATGGGAAGATTTTAAAAGAACAAACAGGAATGAGGTGCTCAACTCCCACTGATTTTCAATGGGTACTGGGTGCCTGATATGACTTCTGTGCCTCTGAAAAATCTCCACCTCCCTACCTATGTTTTGACCTGTCAATATACTACATACTTTTTTAAATAGAAAAGTCTTTGGGGCAGGGATTTATCCCCTTCTCTTTCCTGTACATCAGCTGAAACTTGAAAACTAACATTGGAAAATTAAATATATAACAAAATCGTGCTAATTCACACTGATTGTGGCTTAAACAATCAGGAGATATGAAAGGAAAAGATAATGTATCACAGAATATTTGGTTCACTTATATTGACAACTTAGTTCAGTTTTAATTATTTAGAATAACTGTGATGATTTTAGTAATCACAGCCCCGTCTCGTGTTCAATCTTTCCTCAGAAGTGGGATGAGACTGCTTTTGCGTGTATGAGAATTATTAGGCTTGCAAATTAGCAAAGTAAGAATTAACAAGATTCTACTTTATTGTCAAAAGGATAGTTCCTCTGACCCCTCTCTCTAGCAGCATATCCTTGAACTGTTTCATTCGAGCCTCCAGAGGGACAATGGCCCTCTCACGTGCAGCTTTTATTTCAGCTTCCATGGCAGCCTCCTTGTCTGAATCAATGTCTTTGTTGTCATCTTTCCTGTAAAAATGAAACATACAGTATCCTCTTAGAAGTGATGTTAACACTGCAGTTAAGATATCGAACTGCATCACAAATAGAACAGAAATTTTAGATCGTTCCAGCAATACAGGCTTGTACAAACCATTGCAAGATGTTTGTCAAAGACTGAAACATCAGAGTGAATAAACACAAACAAGGCATTCAGATTTTAAGTATTATCAAGCAAATCACAAAAGAAAATGTAAAATTACTAAAAAGAAAAGTAAGTTTAATCCATCTTTTGTTTTATACTCTATTTACATTCTACCTCTCTGTTAAAAACACCAGGCTTTGTTTATTGAGTTAAAAAGGACATGATTGAGCAAGTTTATAACATTTATAATGTAGATCAAATTGAGTTTAAGGGGGGGAACTGCCAAAAAAAAACAAAAAAAACCCCACCAAATAATCCGCTTTGTTAAGACGTTTTTCAAAAATACACTGCTCCTCTAGGGATATTTACTGAGACATTCTTGGTTCCCAGAAGTATTATTCTAAATTCTCACAGTCATAACCAGGATCCACCTCATGATTACATCAAATGACACAAAATACCAAGATGGGAGTAGTTATACTTGTAACAAGGCATATAGCTCTAGGAGCAATAAAATTTGCCCTGATTTTCTGTAAACCAAACAAAGCAAAAACAATCACTCATGATGTTATAGCACAGTCAAAACAGCCTTTTTATAGAAAAACTCCAGCTCAGAAATCCATACTACTGTCTTTTTTGGGCCACAAAAACTTGTGCAAACAGAGTGAACACAAGCTGGGCAAATGAGTGGCATATGCCAATACCACAGAACTGTATAATGTAAAGACAGCTCAAAATGCTCCTGAGGGAGATCAGGCTATCACAGATAGCTTCTATCACAAACACACATTTATTATTTATGACTTCCACAGAAGATGGAATTCTCTCTCAACATGAATTCTATCCAGCTCTAAAACCCTCAAACTAAGTAACATTAGCAAGAAAGGTAGCAGAAATCTAAAGTAATCCTGTTCAGTTATACCAGGGCAATGCCATTGCCTTCAACAGGGTTGCATGAGTGCTGCTGAGACCAGGACAGAGCCTTCTATATCTAGACTAAGTCCATATAAGAGTTTTCAAGATTAACTTACTTTCGCTTCTTTGTTTTAATAGGCTCATCATCATTTGTTTCCTCTGCTGATTCATGATCTTCTTTAACTGTAAGATAAGTTTCATTAACAGTCTTCTAGGTGAAGTAAAGAAAAGTTCACAACTTATGCCTGAAGCCTCTTGCATACCATATAAAGCTGCTTGATCACAATTTTAACCCATTATTTTGAAGGAAATTAGATGCCATTCTTCATTCAGTTTTAGAGAAATATCATCGGAGCTTGATAATTTTTGTCACTACGGCATTATGCTTAAGTCTCCATCTTGAATTGTCCCTATAAATCAGATTGTTATAGCAAGTGCCAACACCCTGGTTTTGTAATATTAGCCACAAAACAATTCTCTTCCATATTCTATTTTCCATTCATTCAACAGAAGGGATTAGTTCTTATGAAATCTACTCTCTAATTACATTTAAAATCCCTTTCCCATAACAAGATTTAAGAACTCTATTTTCATTTGTGTTTTATACACTTGCATGCAGAAAATAGAACCGAACCATAAATATACAAACTCAAAATGCTGAGCTCATTCATTTTAGTAAAATTAAGTAATCAAACTATCATCCCTAAACCCAACAAGAAGCCCAGGGGACTGTGTAGGTGGCCCACTTTCCTCCCCCCATGGATCTGACTGTAAGACTGGGATGCAATTTAGTATAAGTTGGAAGAAAACACAACATCAGCAGTTATCAAACAGTGGGTCACCACTCCACTTCATTGGGTTCACCAGGGCAGAAAGCTGCAAGCGGGAACTCCCCAAGCCCCCAGCCTGGCTGAAGCCCCGACCCCTCTGCCCTGAGTGGCATATGCCAATACCACAGAACTGTATAATGTAAAGACAGCTCAAAATGCTCCTGAGGGAGATCAGGCTATCACAGATAGCTTCTATCACAAACACACATTTATTATTTATGACTTGCACAGAAGATGGAATTCTCTCTCAACATGAATTCTATCCAGCTCTAAAACCCTCAAACTAAGTAATATTAGCAAGAAAGGTAGCAGAAATCTACAAAATCGCAATTTTTTCTAGTGGGGAGGGGGTTAATGATTTTTTTCTTTTAAGTCCTTATGGGTCGCCAGCATAAAAAGTTTGAGAAACACTGCACTCCATGATTTGTGGTCAGTTTTGTATTTTAAAGGAATTAAACATCTAACTCACATTTCCAAAACAAGTTGAGGCTAAAATGTGCCTTTGTAAATGCTTCATGGAGCCCATTTATATCTTTTAATTGCAAAGTAATATTTTGCACTACTGTCTTTAGAATTAAATCTCCCTTATCTCTCCCCACCCAAAAATAGCCTTTCCCTCCTAAATGCGCAAGTCTATCATTCTTGGATGATTTATTAGAAATTATGCCCAAAATACTCTTACTTCAGTAGCTTCTTAATGAAAACAATGCTGCCCAACCGCCAGAAATAAATACAATTTCTGATCACTGCAGAATTTTATTTCAGTCAACGTTAATTTAATTCCCTTCTTTCAATGCTCCAGGATTTTACTGTCTTATCTTTGTGATTAGATCTTTGCTTTTTGTTGGCCTAAAAATCTATTCCTGTTTCCTATAATTTTTTTTAACCATTTCTACCTTTCTTCTCAATAAAGAATGTCTGTTCCTTTAGTCGGTTTTCATACATATTTTCTTTTCTCAGACATAACATTTCTCCTGTCATTAACATCCCCTTTATTCTCTTGGACCTTTTTTCTAAGCACTTTATATATCTGCAATTTACTATCCCAATCAGCTTTTTAACTTAGTTGTCTCAGTTTTCATAACTACACCTCATTTTTCAAAGTCGGCTTACAGTTCTATCACTTATTTTTTATGCTCATTTTGAAAATAAGCACAAAATGGAGCTTGTGTGAAAAGTTGTTCATTGTCTCTCTATTAATCCTATGAAGGTGGTGATGGGGAGAATGGGGACCGATAATGATGATTTTCCTCTTACTTTGTTTCTTTCCTTCTTCCATTCCTTTTTTGTGAGGAGGTTCCTGAATAATTTTGTCCACATCAGCTCTTCCAATTAAGTCCTCTGGCCGGTCCCACATAGAGAGACGAGTGGTTGGGTTGTAGAAAAAAACCCGCTCATCACCAGTCCATACCACACACCTAAGAATTTTGAAACAGAGAATGCACATGCAACAAGTTTAATTTTATCTATATTCATTTTATATGCCTGCTTTATATCACCCATGAGAATTGAAAATATGAAGTCACCCAGAAAAAAAGACAATGCTTTCTAATTTGATCTGCAAAGAATTTAGATTTCTAATCTATTCCAGCTATTCACTATCCACTATCCACTTTACAAAAACAGAGGAAAACAAACAGATGCTAAATGAATGATACTGCAGTTCAACAGGTTAAAAACCCCACACACTAACCAATCACCAGTAGAAAACTTTCTCTGGCAAGTGGCCTAAAACTTTCAGTTTCTGCAGAATATAAGTTTTTGTTAAAAAAACCAGCTTTATAATGTTGCAAAGCTAACCTTCCGAATGAGAAACTACACAGTACCATCCTACTCACTCAGCAATAGAGCTGTGATTCTGCATTTGATACTACTGCTTTCTCAACCAGCAAAGAGTAAAACTGAAAATATTAAAGTGTCACTGCTACTGATCAGAACCCTGTGGGGGAAGTAAAACTGACTGGATCCTAGTCAATTTTCATTCTGCAGCTGCTGCTTCATAAAACTGTATGCAGCGTTAGAGAAGCATGAGGAAATATCCACAGGGGAAGACATTAAAAAAACCCACACACCAACAGATTGGAAGAGTTGAGTTCTGTGGAAAAGAAAGGGAGCCACTTCTGAGTTCATCTGTCCTCTAACTAACCTGCTTTTGTTGTTTCCACCAAATGTGTAAAAGTCTAGCCTGAACTACATCTCCATTTAGGAAATAATGTGCCTTGTATTATTTTGGTCTAGCTTCCATTCACGTGATTAATTTTCTGTTCTGGTGAGCTCACCTGCTACTATGCTACAGGATACCAGAATGTAGGTCACAGTCAGGTCTAGGTTATATTTAACACATAACTGCAAGATACACCTCTACCCAGATATAATGCTACCCGATATAACACAAATTCGGATATAATGCGATAAAGCAGCACTCCGGGGGGGTGGGGCTGTGCACTCCGATGGATCAAAGCAAGTTTGATATAACGCAGTTTCACCTATAACGCGGTAAGATTTTTTGGCTCCCAAGGACAGCGTTATATCGAGGTAGAGGTGTGTATCTATTTTCCCTGAAGAGAACTGAAGAACTGGTTTTCCCTGGTAGTTTACATAATACGCTTCAAAGCTCAAAAATCCAATGTTACCAAAATTTTTACCAAAAGACATAGAAAATCCAAAACCACTCTAGAAAAGTATTCGCTCTAGAAGTCTGAATCAGATATTAGTACTAAGGAACCTTCTATCTCCTCTACCTTGATAAAAAGTCATCAGATGGGAAAATTCAATCCTAACACTGTTGTCTGAAATTTACAGACCATGCTCTGAAGTGAAAACTGCTGCTTTACTATGTTAGTGGTTACAGAGGTAGCCTTAGATAGAGACTTGATTTTAATTGTTCTAAGACCCAGGTATTAAAGAGACATCAATGGTTAAACTGGACTTGCAAAGAAATGACATCATTATTAGGCTCCTTTATTTAGACACAAAGAATGGTTACTTATCTTACAGTAACTGTGGATCTTCAAGAGGTTATCTAGATCAGAGGTTCTCAAACTGTGGTCCGAGCTCCATTCAGGTGGTCCACGGATAGTTCCCTCTAAGGTGCGCGCCTAGGCGGCCGCACACAAGAGAATGAAGGGCCACCCACCTAATTAGTGGAGCCGCGCAGGTGTGGCTCCACTAATTAGATGCCTGGACCCTGGAGAAGACGCACATGTAAGGCGAGGTGGTGGCCTTGGGGGGAATATGGGGTAGGTGAAAGGGGGCAGTGGAGGAGAAGAGGGCGTGGAGGGAATTTGGGACATGCAGGGCTGCGGCAGCCAGAGAAAGAGGCGACTTTACCCAGCTCCAGGGCTGCAGCTGCCGGGGAGAGACGGCCCTCCTTCCCAGACTCAACTCTGTGGCAGGGGAGGACCCTCCTCCTATTCCCAGCCCCAGCTAGGGGGCTGCAGCAGCAGGGGAGAGAGGGCTCTTTCATCGCATTAGAAAGGTAAGACTACTGATATTAAAATATGAGTTGTGCTCTTTTATTTGTAGAACAAAAAAATGTTTATTATTATTAAGGTTTTTTTTAATATAGCGCTTTTATCCAAAGTGTTTTGCAATAGTTAGCTAACGGTACAAACAACATTTGGAAAGATCAGTAAGTGGTCCACCGAGACCCTCTGCAATTTTCAAGTGGTCCACGAAAAAAAAAAGTTTGAGAACCACTGATCTAGATGGATTCCACTCTAGGTGTACGTGCACCCCATGCTCATGAGATCAGATTATTTTGCCAGCAGTGTCCTTTAAGGCCATATCCGTGCTCTAGATGGACTCACATCCCCATACTTGAGAACAGAAATGGTGGTGCAGGCCCAACCAACCCTAAGTTCCTTTGCCAATACAGAATACCAGAGGAGTAGTACTCTGTAGTAGCGGGGTCAGGAGGGTGAATCATGGAATCCAGGTGGATAACACATCTCGAAAGAATCACAGTTCCACTCTTGGTGACTAACCAGCAGTTGCCTGTTTGCTTGGAGGTAGGTACTAGAAGTCCTACTTAAAGAATGACTGTAGGACAGCTCTACCACAATGGGCATTATTTTTGGAACCATCTACCAAAGAATAGTATCTTGTAAATGCGTGGACTGAGTTCCACATGGCTGCTCTATACATTTCAGAAATAGGTACATTCTTCAGACAGGCAGAAAAGGTTGCCTGAGCTCTAGTGAAATGAACTCTCATGTGGCTAGATGGATCTCACTTGGCTAGCTTGTAAGAAATTCTTAAACAACTGCTGGAGACCCATTTTGATAATCTCGGAGTATACTGCCTGGCCCTTAAACCTATCAGCAAAGTCACAAACAATCTAGGTGTGTTCCTAAATGTTCCGTCCTGTTAAGGTAATAGGCAATGCCCTTACTATATCAAGAATATGAAATCCCCTGCGGTTGATGAGGCTTGGGGAAGAAGACTAGGAGAAGAATACATTGGTTCATATGGAACTCTGAAGCAACTCTGGCTAGGAATTTGGAAGGAGGCCTGAAAGTAAACCTGTCCTTATGAAACACTATATAAGGGGGACCTTCCATGGGGGTCTGAATCTTCTCTCCCTTTGAGTCAGTGTAAATTCTTCTAAAAAAGAAGGCTTCACTGATAGATGGTATAGGGAGCAGGTTGCAATTGGCTCACATGGGGGACCCATCAACACTGTTAATATTACACTCATGTCTCCCAAACTGGGTGAAAAACATGAATAAGGCCCTTAAGAAATCTAGCCACTCTAGGGTGCGAAAATACAGTGCAGTCTTAGATAGGAGGGTGATGTGCATATATTGCTGATAGATGAACACTTCATGGAACTACCTGAAAAATCAAGATGGTTTCAGAGTTAGTAAATAGTCCAATTTTGCTGAAATGGGTGTTGCTGAAGGAGACATAACTGATGCTGAGATGTCCAAATAGGAAACCTCTTCCATTTAGCTTTTAAGTCAATCTTGTTGAGAATTTCCTGCAGAATGTTCTGAACTTCAGTTGAACTGCTCCTTTCAGTGGATGTCAGAATGCCTTAAAGTTGTCTGTTGGACAAGGTGTAGACGACTGCCTCATCAGGGGAAGATGACAAAATTGCTTGCAAGATCAACTGGTCCTCCACCTTTGCCTGTTGATCTTCCTCACAAAGGATCTAACCCCTTGAAATGGGGACAAAGGATGTTGTCTTGTGGGAATATGGTTGCATACTCCAGTACAGGCATGACCAATAAACATATGGATACTACACTGGTGGACACAGAGGAGGATAATGAGGGCCTTGCCCCTGTGGGCATACCTAACACTGCAATTAGATACCTGCAGCTGACCCGGCCCAGCTGATTTGGACTCACAGGGCTCAGCCTAAGAATCTATTTATTTGCAGTGTAGACATCCAGCCAGGCTGCAGCCCAAGCTCTGGGACCCCCCTCTCCCACCTCAGTGTACACATATCCTCTAAGACCCATGCCTTCTCCTGCTCAAAAAGTAGTTTCTGAAGGAATAGCAGCTGGTAGCGGTGAGCCTACTATCTATGAACAAAGTTAGTAAAAAATACAAAAACAATTGTTTTTGTAGCTAATAGTCAAACTAAAAGTTAACTATGTAACAACTAAACTAACTCACCACTAACTGTCTACAACAAAGTCGTACAGAAGCAGGACTTCTGTAAGGGTTCTCTCTTGCTGCCACAGGCAATAAAAAGGAACTGAGACATGCTTGGGCCTACTCTTCTCTTTATCTCCTTGGACACCTGGGGGGTAGGTGCGGCCTCAAAAGACACTGATAGCTAAAAGAATCTGATCTCCCATGCACTGGGTGCATGTGCACCAAAAATGGAATCCTGTCGACAACCACTTGAAATAGAAAATGTTAAAAAAAAAAAAAAATCCACCAAGCAGAGGTACAGAGGTTTTCCCACCAGATTTTCTAATCTGTATTGTATATATCCACCATATATTTTTATCATATCAGGAAGCCCCTTTGGAATACTTGTGTATACATTTCTTGTAAATGGCAGACAGATCCTTCCAAGTACCCATGATTTTCTTTCTTGCAATAGGTTCAATGATCTACTATTTCACAGCATGATTACTTTCATATTAGCACACTGACCAGCAACAATTCCAAACTGAAGGGTTCCAATGTGGTTGACAGATATACATCCAAATGTCAAACGATATTTCCAGAATTCCTATTAACATTAAGATCTACAGAGATTTGTCCTTCACAGTCCTATATTTGCTTCCAGAGATTCGGCTTCATTTCCCTCAATTTAGAGATCTTGCAATAATACTGTTAATATTACTTTGAAGTTTGAAGTATATTTCATTTTAGAATTTCAAACAACTTTACAAATCTTAAGCTCCATTCCCCTTGTAAGGCACATACAGTATTGGAACCATTTAACAGACAGGTAAGAGGCAAAGCAAATTATCTAACTGGCTCTAGGAAACAGAGTCAGTGAAAGAGCCAGGAAAGAATTCAGGAGTCCTGACTCCCAGTCTCCTGTTCCAACAATGAAGCAACACTCCTCACCAACAAGATATCTGCTGCACCATACTACAGGGAAAGGAATTGGAATACCAAAGGTGTGCACTGGGAGTTAACTACATACCATGGGGTTCCAGGAATAGGAGTAGTTGCAACTGGTTTTGCTTTCTGAGCTGCTTTTTCTTCTTCAGTCATTTCTTCCTCTTTTGGCTCCTAGAAGGGAAAAAAATAAAGGTTGTACGAGTCGGCCATGTTCTCTGTTCAGCTATTTCATTTATATCCAATTGACAGTAATGTGGAATCAAAATTTATTTATTTATTTAAAATAATGTTCATCAACAGCCTCAATTATATTCACAAAGTTTAAGGCAGGAAGAATCTATTAGATCACCTAGTCTGACCTCTTATATATCACAGGCCACTAATTTTCACCCAGTTCCCCATATATTGAGCCCAATAACTTGTCTTTGACTAACACATAACTTTTGTTTTGCTAAAACATGTCTTACAGAAAGACATCCAGTCTTGATTTGAAAACTTCACGAGATGGAGAATCCACCACTTCCCTTGGTAGTTTATTCCAGTAGTTAATCACCCTTACTGTTAAAAATTTGTGCCTAATTTCAAATGTCAATTTGTCTGGCTGCAGCTTCCAGCCACCAGTTCTTTATCTGCTAGATTCAAGAGCACTTTAGTACCTGGTACTTTCTTCCTGTGAAGGTACTTAAACACTAACCAAGTCACCTCTTAATCTTCTTCTCAATAAGCTAAAAAGGACTGCGCTCTAAAGTCTCTCACTGTAAGTCATTTTCTCCAGCCCTCGAATAATTTTTGTGGCTGTTCTGCACCCTCTCCAGTTTTTCAACATCCTTTTTAAGATGTGGACACCAGAATCAAACAGTAATCCTTTATCATTCTCAATAATGCTACATGTTGATATAAATAACATCTCCCTACTCCCCTGTCTATACAACCAAGGATCGCATTAGCCCTTTTTGCCATAGCATCACACTGGGAGCTAGCTACACTGAGTTACTGTCCACTATGACCCCTAAAACCTTTTCAGAGTCACCCCTTCACAGGATAGTCCACCATTCTGTAGATATGACCTGTGTCTTTGTTTCTAGTTGTGTATGTTCGCATTTGACTGTATCAAAACACATTTTGTTTGGATTTCTTGGTGACCTGGGCCCATTCAGATTGGTCCATATGATCATTATCTACTATTCTGCCAATCTGTGTCATCTGCAAATTTTATCAGCAGTGATTTTATATTTGCTTCCAGATCACTGATTAAAATGCTAAGTAGTGTCAGGCAAAATACCAAGCCCTTTGGAACCTCATCAGAATCACCACAATTGACTGATGATTCCCCACTGATGACTACTTTTTGAGATCTGTCAGCTAGTTCTTAATCCATTTAACATGCTCTATTGATATATTGTGCTAATTATTTTAATCAGAATGTAATGCAGTACTAAAGACACAATGTGGATGAAGCAATATCTTTTATTGGACTAACTTCTGTTGGTGAAAGAGACAAGCTTTCATGCTCCTCAGGTCTCTCTAATGTCCTGGGACCAAAAGCTACAACAAGGCAGTACTAAGTCAAACATCTTACAAAAGTAAGTATACTACTTCTTTGAAGTTTATCAACCAAACTTGTAATACCTCAGAGAATGAAATCAGGTTTGATTGGCATTAATTATATTCCTGTCCTTTAATTCTTTATTGTGTTCCCTATCAGTTTTTCCATTATTTTGCTTGGGACTGATGTCAGGCTAACTGACCTGTTTCCCAGGTCATCCCACTTGCCCTTTTGGAATAATGGCACAACAGTAGTACTCTTTTAGAATCATCTAGAACTTCCACAGTATTTCAAGATTTATTAATAATTAAAACAAGCAGGTGAGAGATCTCCCCAGCCAACTTTTTTAGGAGTCTTTGGAGTAAATTATCCAGGCCTGCTGATTTAAGAATGTTTATTTCTAAGAGAAGTCATCTAACATCCTCTTCAATTACTAATGGACTGGAAAGTACTTCACCCTCAATTGATATGACTACATCTTGCTTCTTTCTAAATAAAGAACAGAAATATTTATTGAACACATCTGCCTTTCCTGCATCATTAACAATTTTACCATCTCCATCTAGTAATGGGCCTATAATATTGCTAGAATTTCTTTTGTGCCTAGTATGTTTAAAAAACCCTCCTTCTTAGTATCTTATTAGTTTTCATCTGTCTTCTCAAATGTAACCATGTTTTGATTATTATGCTACACGCTTTAGTTTCTATTTAAGTCAAGACCCAGATTCAGGAAAGCCCTTAAGCCACATGCTTAACATTGATTTCAATGGAATTTAAATATACTTAAACACTTGCCTGAACTGGGATGTTTCCCCGAATCAGTGCCTAAATGAAGAGATTATGGTGAGATGTGTTTTTAAACACTGTACCTTAATTACATAACAAAAAAAACTGTACACAAGAAAAAGTTTTAGTTTGGTTACTGTAATTTAAGGGAAACAAATGTACTTTACTTTTGCAGAGGTTCTCTATGATGTGACTTTCTGACAAACTAAACTTATTGGTTGTATTGTATACAGGAAGTTTTGCTTTTGTCTCAAAATTATGAAAATAAAGAAAATACGCAAACATGCATCTCTTTCAATATTTCAGACATCCTGATATCCAGGGCAAACTGAGTTGCTGAATACATTAAGCAAACTGAGTTGTTGAATACATCAAGAGAAATGACTTTTTATAAATCAGAATGTATTTAGAGGTAAGACTATTTTAATTTTCAAATTCTTACTGACTTACCACCTAATTCATCTCTCTATATTTTTCTTTTTAAAAAGTTTTTTTAAATTAAAAAAAAAATCACTAAATGTCATGAGAAAAAAAATACAATTTTCATATCACCCCCAATAATCTAAGAACTCAAATTACTAACCATAATCTCTTATCAATATGTCTGCATCCACATATATACACAGAAAGATTTTATTTGGTTGCAAGGTCTTTTACCTCTTTTATCAGCAATTTTATAGGTTCTTCTTTGGGCTCCTCTTCTTCTGTTTCCATTGGCAAAGGCTCCTCTGTAGGTTCTTTAATAGGCTCTTTAATCTTCTCTTCTACTTTTTCTATAAGAAAAAGGATTTTTTTTTTTTTTAAAGTTTGCCTACGGTAACTTGTAATTTTTTTTGTACTCTTCTCATTTTGTTTTTTTCAATGTGGTTTTTCAAGTTGTACTTTTTTTTTTTTTTGGCCATTCTCTCTTCAGAGAATTAAGTGTCATCCTCAAAGGGCCAGATTCTCTCCTGTGCCAGGATCTGCTCAACATGGGGGAAAAGGGGAGGCAGTTAGGGTTCCTGATCTCACGGTATCCCAGCCCCAATGTAAGTTAGTCTTTCCTAACTTATGGCAGTTAGTGTATGAATTGCTGTAGTGGACCCTACTCTTCCGCCCCCCCCCCTCCTCCCCCATATGCCCTCCGCCCCCAAGGCAGAAGTTCTGCTAGGAGAATTATCAACTTGGCAGCTGAAGCCAAATTCTGGTTGCTCTCTGTTGTTTAGATGTTGTGAAGGAACTGGAATGGGGCAGAGAATCTGACCCAAAAAACAGGCATCCTGGCCATTCACTGTAGAAAATAATTTAAATGGAATCCCTCTTACTAACACCTTGCTACCCATATAACGGTCCTAACAAGATTCAAGTGACACAGTCAACTTTAATTTTTGAAATTGGCTCATTTCTAAAAATTTAAGTTTGATAGAAAACTGAATTTTTTTATTTTTTTAAATTCTGGCCTTTTCAGCAAACAGGAACCTCACAGACAATACAGGGGAAACTGACCAAATACAAGTAATGCTAAACGCACAAAGTAAACAACCTGTAAGAGAATATTCTCCCCTACCAACTTCTTTCTTTTATAGGAACTGTAAGTGCTGCATGTAAATACATTAGAGAGAGATGTGATTTTCAGGGTGTGTCCCTGTGACAAGAGCTCCAAATTCAGTCCAGTTTCCTGAAGTGCTCATGCACATTCCTTGTTTAGCAGGATAAATTATAACTCAGATTCTACATATTTCTTAAAGCAGGCTACATGCAAGGATTTCACAATTGTAATTAAAACTGCCCTTTAGCAGCCTACATGTCTGTTCTTATACTTAGTCCCAATGCCAGTAGGAAATATTAGAAGTCAAAAATAAGACAAGGAGGTTACATCAATAGAAACAAGTCACTTGGGAAGAATAGTCAGCTAGGGATGTTAACCATCAAATATTATAATAAAGTGAGGGCTTGAAGTTGCACTAAATTTTAATAAAAGAATATTGTGTGTGATAGAAAGAGTTATTTCTCTAACCCCAACACAGAGACTACTTCTTCACCTAAAATCCAGTCAACAAATATTGGGGAAGAGGAAGTTATTTGAATGCTTTGACTTGCACTGCAGGCTGCTCTAGTGGGTCTTATATGATGCAGAAGGGTTGCTATCAGCAGCACACCATCCTGGCATAGACTTCCTTTGCAGGCTGTTGCCTTTTTAACAAACAGCTTGTTGTTTATATACTGCTAGGGCGCCCTTATTTTCTGGATTCGTTTTTTGTTCATTTGTTTTTGATACTATGTCTGGTGACAATAGATCTCAGAAAGGAGTTCCCTGCAAGATCAGCTGCTGTCTATCTCCTTCCCTTTCATGACATTAAAATTTGGTTAGGGAGTCCATGGGTTTGGGAAGGGAGATGACAAGTCTGCAATTTCTTTGGATGCATTAAGAGCTACAAAATAAACAAGGGTGAGCTAGATACTCTTGCTCCAAAAAAACTGCAGTTTGTTGAACTTCTCTAGAATAAACTACACATTTATCAAGATTCAAGAGATATTAAAAATTGAGAATGAAAGTTTTAAAATGCACTTTGGAACTTTAAAGAACATTACAGAAGAAGTTGAAATACTAGAAAGCAATTTTAAGCAGACACACATTTGGATACTAAGAATTCTGCATGGGTTCCCGAACCACTAGAGAACATTTTATACATTAAGTTTTGATGGAATACTCAAGTGAAGGGTGCAGTCCAGTTTCCGGAATGGACAGTTCTTGCCTAAAAAAGACTGTACAATGCAACTGCAGAGAGACAGCCTTCTGAGCATTGTTCTGCACCTATTACTTTCCTTTAAAATACATTTTATATATTTGGAGGATCTAGAAAATGCTTCTTTATTCAGGGAACCTAATTCAGATGTTCTCTGTCTTAAGGACCTCTCAATTCAGGAGAAGTAAGCTGAGTTAGTGAGAACTGAATTTTCAACTAGGTCATGGGCAGCAGTCCTTAACTAGCATGGTTGAGAGTTATTTTAAGCAGGTGTGTTTATGTATATATATAAAAATTCAACCAAGAGGGAAAAGGAAGAACTACTTGTGCCTGACTAGACTGGTGAAGACTAGCAAAAATTTCGTAGATTCTAGAATCAGAATGTTTGAGGGGATTTTCACTCTCTAGTCTTCTTTTTGGCATTATATTTGGATCACCTTTTGGGGGGGGGAGGAGGACTCCCTCATGGATGTAATTTGGGTTAAATGAATTTGGGGTTATGGAATATAACCTTTTCTTTTTGCTAATTTAATTTTGTCCTATTCATCCCCTCCCTTTCTCTCCATCCCAAACTCATTTTTCTCAATCTCTAAACTTTGTGCTTTCACAGATTTCCATTCTTCAATGCGTTTATCACTAGGATGTAAAATTACATATAAAACATTTTAAAAACTAAAAAATTCTTTCCACTTTTTGTCCTTCCACAGAGATCTTTTCAAGCATACTAGTATGAGAATACAACTTCTTTCTACTGGAAAATAAATGCATCATTCATCTAAGTGTTCCATGGTTTGACAGCAATGAACAGCTATTACCATAGCAGAAAACAAATATGCTTTAACTCTAAGACCTATACCCAACTCAAAGTTAGCACATTTTGGAAATCCTAATTAAGGGAGAAGAGGATTAAAGTAATTCTCGTTCACATTTTCCAACAATGTTTATAATGTTAAGTCGTAAAAGTGATCATACCTAGTTGTGGCTGGACTCTAAAATCGAATGCTGTACCTTTCTCTTTTAGTTCTTGGGGTCTTTCCCATGTTGATTCCAAAGTCCTATTGTTATAATAGTAAGTCTTCCCATCTGCTGTTTTGTACTCTGTCCATTCAGAGACTGCTGTTGCTCCAGCCAAAGTAGCAGGTGAAGCGGCAATAGCAACCTGAGGATGGATCATAGGTACAATAGGAGGAGCCATTCCTGGCAAGACACCTACATAAAGGAGCAATAAAAAACAAAACAAAAGAGCGAGTGACAATGAAACATTATTTTGTGACACAAAAGCACCAAAATACTGTTTTATGATAATCAACTAAGCATATAGTTTAATATAACTTTAAAATAAGTTTTTTTTCTAGTTGTAATGTCTTTTAACCTGGGACAAAAAAACCAAACCAAAACAGTACATTATTGAAAAAACAATTAACTGTTTTTTGTATGAAAACACATTTGTTCCTGAAAATGGCTTATTTTCAAACAATGTACAACCTTGAAATGAAGATTTATTCTAAGACACGCATACACCACATACATACTAACATGCAAGCAGTCATGTCACTGTACAAATGGAAGTAGAAAAAACACAAATATCCCACACACACAAAACAGAACTAAGAAGTATGGGCATGAAGAGGTTCACATTCATCGCAGAAATCAATGATTAAAATAATGTGAGTTTGTGTAGCTTTTTTGTACTAAATAGGCTAACACTAATAACTCATTAGGAAAGTTGTTTGCTGGCCAATATATTTTCATTTTGACTTTTTTTGAAAATAAAAATATACAGATCCACTCATTTGGGGAAAGCAAATAAATAAATAAATAAAAGATAAACAACAACATTCACTACCATGCCAACTTACAGACAAAATGAACTAAGATGGTTTTAAAAATTACCGGTCTTGGTGGTAGCGACTGTCTTTACATACGGGCAGCTGACTATTTGCATCATTGCTACACCTGTAAAATGGATAAGCAAGCATGTTGGAAAGCTGCCATTGTATGTTGGCAATTACTGGGAGTCTGAATAATATGAATTTTCCTGCTACAATTTAAAATGCCATTTTCCAATAGAAAAGACAGATCCCAGGCAGGAATATGTAAATTCTTCTTTTTTGCAACATATTATGAAAAGTGGTGCCAGATCAACTATAAAACTAGTTCTAAGTTACTGCAACATTTACTGTTTTACATTGAACCAGCAGTTTAAAGTGTAACATATATTAGGACTTTATAAAACATTTGAGAGAGGATTCAAGGGTTTAAATTCAGTGTGGGGTAGAATCTCACCCCTCTCTGTGAGACAACGTTGCAGGAGATTGTGCTGAGGGTAGTTTTGCGCATAGCATTTGCCCAGAAGAGGCCAATAGAAGCAGCTACAGAAACTCATGCAGTCCCTGTCAGTTTCATTCTGCTCCTACTCCAGCTGGAAAGAAGGCAGGAGCAACAGTGGAGGTACAATTTTAATCAATTAAGACAAGGGTGAGAGTGGTGGTGGCGGCAGCAGCAGTGAAAGCACAATTTCAACCAGAAAGGAAAGAGGAGGTGATGGTCATTAGGGAAAGGCATTGAAGCTGAAAGAGAAGAGGCAAAAAGAAAAAGCTGTGAAGGGGTGAAGAAATATACACAAACAAAGAAGCTGCATTGGTGGGTCAGTGGTAGGAAGTACTAGCTCTTGTCACAGTCTGTGGAGCTGCATGGGTTAGGAATGCTGTGAAGACAGAACATTTAGCCTTTGGGAGAGGTAGCACCATGGACTGCTTTCTAGCTCACTGAAGAAATGACACTGGAAGGTATGGAAACTGTGACATCTAATCCCCTTCAGTGAGATGAAAAATCACTAGGAGAGATGAGAGAATAAAAGGGAGGAAAAAAAGGGATTCCAGAAGACAGTTCATTTTAGGGGGAAGGGGTCATGACTGTATAATATTTCTGAGTATCAATCCAGTACTTTCAGACTGCTAACTGAAAAACTCAGAAATATACCCCCAGACCCTAAAATGTGTCAATTCCTACCATATGAAAGAGGTGGGAATTCCCACAACACAAAATGAAATTAAACCCCTGTATTTATAACCAAAATAAATGTTAATTTTCTTTATCAAAAATCTAATATAGAAAATACACTAAATATACTGCCAATTTATTAAAAAAAAAATCTTTTAGAAAAGACCAAATCTCAGTGCTCTTTAGTTTTGAGTTCTTTTATTAAAATTTCTAATAACTGTATGTAGTATGGATGGATTAAGATACCGAAGCATTGAATCAAATGGTACTGAATGAAGTGTTTGTCTAGTTTTGTTGGGTTTTTTTAGGATACAGCCTTTGAATGACTGCAAAAGTTTTGTTTTGTTAAGGAAGTTACAGTATGTCCTAAAACTAAATCAGGATAAATAATGTCATCTGTCTGATCACTGAAATTGGTTCTACTGCAGAGCAGACAGACTTCTTAGCAACTACAGCAAAAAAAAAAAAAAGCTGTTTCCTCTGACAAATTTCACATTTTTAAATGTATAGATAGCTTTTCACATATGAATTAAGAGTAAGCGGACCGACCTTAAAATTTAGTATCATAAGATATTAACACAATGGAAGAGTTAATTTAGTGTCATGCCACAACATGCTGCAGAACTTTAAATGTCAAGATCACTTGTCAATTGCACTACTCAGCTCTTTTTTAATATGAAGTGATCTCTCTGGATGGCTTCACGTTCATCACTGCCTAACACAAAAGAGCTACACACTTATGCTCAATGTGTCTTTTCAAATTCTGCTAATATTTTAACGGGATCATTTTAGCTTGTTTCTTAAAAACTCATCTCTTCAGGCATTTTATAGTTATGGTGGGAATATTCCAAGGCTTTCTAGAAACATCACAAAAAAAGTACAACCAAGTCAAACCAAATTCAGCTGAATTAAAAACCAAAACAAAACATAGTTTTGTTCCGTAATCAAAGAGAATGTGTATTTAGAATAATCAAAGAAAACAAATTCAAAATGGCATGGAGTCCTCCCAGTTCAATCCAATGTGTTATTTCCAGTGAAAAGGGAAAATGGGTCAGGTATAAGTCTTCCAGAACTTCAGAAACTATATTCATGTTCTGAGAGAATTTGAGGAAAATGTTCCATCAGATAACCATGTTTTTTTTGTTTGTTTTTCACACTTCTCTCTTCTTTTCCAGTGTCGTGTTCAGTGTGGGAGTTTCTGCACTGGAAACTTACAAAAAATACAAGTGTCCATTGTTCATGGCCAGTTTCTTGGATATTGAAATTGTTTCCTTATTGTATTGATCATTCAAATGTTGCCTGCCAGTTTACACTTAATAGCAGCGGAATATGCATTTTACATGAAGAATACTGGATCCTTCATCTTACACTGATCATTTGCTGGCGGAGGCAGGAACTGAAGTTAAGAGTAGTCAGACTTTTTTCATCCTGATTTAAGCTGCACATTTTAAAACTTAATAATTAGTTATTCTTTTCCCTTAACTCCCCAAAATATGTAAGAATCTACTCCTGAGGGCATTCTGCACCAAAAAAAAATTATGTGCCAAAAAACTAAAAATTCTGCACACAATATTTTAAAATTTTGCAAATTTTATCTGTCAAATAAATGTGGAGGCTCCAGCATGGCATTGGGGAGCACAGGCCACGGGCTGCACAGAGGTGGGAGATCACTGAGCAGCTACCCCTCCGGACAGAGACTCAGTGGTGAGGCTGCACCTAACCCCGACACAGCGCAAGTACCGGGCCTGTTCCAGAAACACCCCAGGGCCCTGCCCCTCTGTTCCAGATGCACCAGTGTGGGTGGGCAGGCTCAGCAAGGTAGGATCCAAGTGTGGAGGGGCTCAGTGTGGGGGGATCCAGGTGTGGGTTGAGAGGGTTCTGTGTGGGGCAATCTGGGTGTGGGTGGCTCAGTGGGGGATCCGAGTGCGGTGGAATCTGGATGCACAGAGACTTGTTGGGGGGTAATGGGACTCCGCAGGGGGGTCCAGGTGAAGGTGGTTGGGGCTCAGCAGGGGTGGAAGGGTCTGAGGTGGGGTCCAGATACTGGGGGAGTGGGGCTCAGTGGGGTGGGGATCCAGGTGCAGCCGATTGGGGCTCGGTGGGGTGGGGATCCAGGTGCGGGTGGCTTGTTGGGGTGGTCCAGCTACAGGAGAGTGGGGTTTATCAAGGGGGGTTTGGAGTGCGGGGGGGAGGCTGAGCAGAAGGGTCTGGGTATGAGGAGGGCTGGATACTTGGGGGTTGGGCGGATGGGAGAGCAGCTCCCTGTACAGGGATCCCTACCCCTGCAACTGAGGAGTGATGGGTGAAGGAGCCGGGGGGGGGGAATGCAGAGCTTCCTGCAGCGGGGGGGAGAAATCTGGCTGTGGGTCTGACCTGGCCCCAGATGCCATGCAGGGAAAGAGGAAGTCCCGTCCTCCCCAGCCTAGCTGGGACAAGCAGCTGAGCCTGGCACGGGGCAGGAGCCACCAGCCGGTCTTCCCCAGTCCTGTCCCCTGTCTCACAATGATTTCTCTCTCTGCCAGCTGCCCTGGACACCCAAAACATACTGCTGGAGAGGGCTCCATGACTGCTCTTGTGGCTTCCTTTTGCTTCCCCATCAGAAAGTCAATTTTCTGCAGGGAAGCAAAGAAATCCGCAGGGAACATAAATTCTGCGCATGCGCAGTGGCGCAGAATTCCCCCAGGAGTAAAGAATCAGACTTCTAAATTACTTTCCTAACATTCAGTATCAACCAGAGTACTGTCCTCAACCTGGTATAATTTTGTCTTGTTTAAGCTGATGACTTCCCTATAATTTCCTTTTTAAAACAAAATTGTGGTGTTGCATCACTCCTACAAAGTTGATTTTTTCTAATCAGGACTCTGAAAAAGACTGGTCATTTGTGGTGGATAATCAGCTGAACATTAGCTCCCAGTGTAATGCTGTGGCCAAAAGTGCTAATGTGATCCTGGGATGCATAAACAGGGAAATCTTGAGTAGGAGTAGAGAGGTTATTTTACCTCTTCATTTGACACTGAGTGACTGTTGCTGGAATACTGTGTCCAGTTCTAGTGCCCACAATTCAAGAATGCTGATAAATTGGAAAGGGTTCAGAAAAGAGCTATGAGAATGATTAAAGGATTACAAAACATGCCCTGCAGTGATAGACTCAAGGAGCTCAATCTATTTAAGCTTAACAAAGAGAAAAGTAAGGACTGACTTAATTACGGTCTATAAGTACCTACACAGGGAACAAGTATTTAATAATGGGCTCCTCAATCTGGCAGATATAAGTATAACACAATCCAATGGTTGGAAGTTGAAGCTAAACAAATTCAGACTGAAAATAAGGTGTAAATTTTTAACCGTGACAGTAATTAACCATTGCAACAATTTGCCAAGGGTTGTGGATTCTCCATCATGGACAATTTTGAAGTCACGATTGGATGTTTTTCTAGAAGATATACTCTAGGAATTATTTTGGGAAAGTTCTATGGCATGTGTTATAGAGGAGTCACTCACTAGATCACAATGGTCCCTTCTGCACTTAGAATCTATGAACGTGGACTAAGCTTCAACATGAGCCCCTACAGCTCAAGTCTTTTTGCTCATTTTCCGACACTATGCCTGGTGGCTGCAAGAGATCAGGCTTGGGAACACTTGATATCAGTGTTGAATTGTAATACTTTCTGCTCTTGAATATGTATGCAGTGTAGTTGTAGCCGTGACGGTCCCCGGATATTAGAGAGACTCTAGAATATGTAATTCACTTTTAGTCTCCTCTCTAGTTTTATTCCATTTCCTAATGCACGTTTGTGCATAAGATTGAAGCTCTAAATCCAAGTAATGAAGTGACAGCAATGATTACATACCAACCATGAATTCTGCTATATGAAAAAAAATGTAGTGCTAGACCATCCTGGCAATAAACTATTTTTACAGATGATTAACAGTCTCAGAGTCACTTAGAGAATTAATCCAGTTCTTCATTACTTTGTATGGGATTGGAGTATAGACATGATCCCTTAAAAAAAAAATCCATTTATAAAATGCAATTTTCAGTGCATGCTAATTCTAATTTATTTGTATTATCCAAAACAAGTATTTTACATGTTTAAATAACTACTTTCTAATAACTGTATCAGAAAATTAAATATGTAAAAAAAGAGTTTCAAGTGACTATTACTTAAAAAGTCTGTCCACTAAACCTGAATTATTTCAGAAAACATTCTAAATGGATTTTAGAGTAGCAGCCGTCTTAGTCTGTATCCGCAAAAAGAACAGGAGTACTTGTGGCACCTTAGAGACTAACAAATTAAATGGAGAGGATTTAGGCAATTCCATACACAGTAGACACGAGTGCAAACAAATTGACAACATGGACACATAGTTGACAAGACAACTACAGTTTACCAATTTACCTGGAAGTGGAATAGGCATGCCAGGAAGGGGAACACGAAATGGAGGTACCATTACGGGTGGAAAAGCAGGAATTGTTGCTGTTGGCTGAGGTACTGCATGAGGAACTGCAGGAGGCAACGTCTGTGGGACTTGCTGGGGTACAGTCTGCACAGGTGTAGCAGAAGGAGTGGAGGTTGAAACACTAACTGAAGATGTAGCAACTGAAACACCTGAACTTGTGGTCTGGTCTTGTGTTGTCGGTGCTGATAAAAAAAAACAAAAAAAAAAGAAAAGAAAAAAAACTTGTAGTTTTCTTAAATGGTACAACATGTGAACTGTAAATACGTGAGCTCTTACTAGTATTTCCCTACACATACTATACAGTATTTCATCCCTTACTGACACACACATAAGGAAAGGACGCTCGCTGGAAAGAAAAATCCCTCTCTCCACCCTGTGACATTACATTATTCCAAAAAAAAGGTCAATTTTTATTTCTTATTTCCCTTGCCCCCTTGTTTGTATAATATAACTAAAAAATCTCTAGGGCAGTGGCAAAAGTTTCTTTGCTTTGTTTACCAGAGAATTAGTATAACCTGTTTGGGTGATAAGTGAAATTTGAATCTCCGCTCAGATTGAGACAAGTAGGAGGGGAAAGTTGTACAAAACCTTGAATGAAGGAACTAATGCGCAAAGAATATTGTTGTTTAAACAATATAAAGGCAGCAGTTCTGCATGTGCATGTACATGACAACAGTGTGATATTCTTAGATTGTGGCCATGCAACTGTGATTCAAGCGTGGAGAAATATCTGCACAAAATTTGTATAATCAAGGAAAAGTTTAGAAAAATGCTTTCAGTCATGGTCTGGAAGAATTCTAGTGGCCTTCAGTGCCTCCTAGTGGGTAAATGAATATTAAACATTCAGTTCAACATTTCTTGCAGGATGATTCGAGTTAGCCTTCAACAGGATGCTAATGTTGCATATCAATGTGTGGAGTAAAAGGAGGAAAAGTGGCAGCCAATGCGTTTCAAGAATTAAACTTATACTAGGCATCATTTTGATTTATTTTACCCTGGAAAGCAATGTTATAAATTTACAAGATAATACAGTGCAATGATGGAGAAATATCACTTTTCTTGTACTAAGTGATTATGTTTAGATATTAAATTTATGTCATAAAAACAGAAAAACAGATTGCAAGGGAATTATTTTCTTCAGTATTTAATAAAGTGATTAACTCACTTTTTCAATAATATAAAGATACTTAATATTTAGTATATATTTAATACTATTCATCTGCAATTCTCAAAGAGTGAGAGAGTTATTCCTGTTTTAAAGATAGGGAAACTGAGGCATACAGAGATTAAATGATTTGCTCAAGGTCACACAATAAATCAATTGCACAGTCAGAATTAGAACCCAGCTCTTCTGACGCCCAATACTTTACAGACTGATTCTGAATGCTGAGAAAATTGATCTTTTAAAACACAAGCTTTAGCACCTGACCACAGGCATCAACATTAACAGACAAAATTCATTAGTGCTCGGTGTCAGGAAATTACATTTTTGGCAGCCAAGAGTCAAGTCAACTTCTACATTATTCTATTAAGTTACATAAAAGGGGCCTCAGTATAAAGATATGCCTCAAAAGCAGAGAAAACTACAGTGAGTAAACTATGGATCTCAAAGCTGATATGGAATGGAACCTAAACATTTGTCTGATTCTTGTCCATTGTTACATATTTAAAAAATGGCTACACAGCCTATAAAATAATGCCCTACACACTACACTTAAATATATCAAGAGAATAGGCTAGGTAGTTACTTTCCAGATCTAGTGAAATAATGACATATGACTCAAGATGAAAAGTCAACTGTAAGATTATTTGCTATGGCTACAATCTAAATATATACATTCCACAAGGTCAGTCCCTTATTCCCTTGGGCTGCTGTGAGTTGGAAACATTGTAGTGGCTCAGTTCATGTGAAGAGCAATAGTTTTCAAACTATAGTTCATGGATCATTCATCAATAAACCTCAGAACCCTCTCCTGGTTTGTTCTGTCACGCAAACACAAAGGAACTGAAGCACTGGGATGCTCTGCAGAATGAAAAAGCAGAAGTTCTGCTCTACAACAATCAACTTGGCTTGTTCCAGAGGCAGTACTGACATGTCCACCTCCTCAACCAGAAGGGCAGGTTGGATCCTGGAGACAGGTAAGATGGGAAACCTTGGTGGAACAACCCCTCCCTCCAAAATAATGCCTACCCTTTTCTTAATAAAGCATTTCCAAGTTTTGTTGGAAGTATATCGATAACCAAACAGACGCTTAATAGTTATTTGAGAACATATGGGTAGCAGCAGAAAAAAACAAATACCTGGCAAAGAAGAGGGGCCACATGTCACATTAAGTCTTTACTACAGTATTTCCTCTAAGGTAGCATTTGTTTCCCACTCTCACAAAGCCTAGGAAACCCACAGTAACTCACTGGAAATGGTCTGTGAAATTGAAGTGGCTGTGGTTGTAGTAGAGGTCATGGAGGACTGAGTACTTGATGATGTTGATGGAGACGCTGAAGATGCAGGACTACTGGTTGTTGGTGTGGAGGCCCCTTGGGCTTGTGCCTGCGCCTGGGCTTGTGCCTGCGCCTGAGCCTGGGCTTGAGCCTGGGCTTGTGCCTGAGCCTGAGCCTGGGCTTGTGCAGCAAGCATTGGTGTCAGTTCTGATTGCTGAATAACCTTTACCCCATCTGGCTTGGTCCATGCAGACTCACGCGTTCGTGCATTATAGAAATAGACCTATAGAGTAGAAGAGTCATTATCAAACAATAGTATGTTTTCACAATGAATGGCCTAGTCCCCCATTCTCAAATTATGAGGGCAAAAATTAATATCTATATGAATACGTATTAATAAAAAAAAATTGCTCTGTTTTGCCTATCTATTCAGCATGACAAAAACAAAGACTCTTACTATACACAATCTGCAGCCTCGATGGCCAAGATCAACACACCACCACCACCAATGCAAACAAGATCATATGTGGTAACATGGTAACAGTCACTCACTATTCCTGATAGCTCCTTGCTGTATTTGGTTCCAGTCTTACCTTGCCATCTGGAGTCTTGTTTTCTACCCATATCTCTTCAGTGGGTGGCATGGTTGGAGTTCCCGGGGCAGTGACAGGTGGCATCCCTGGAGGAAACATCATACCAGGAGGCGGTGGCATGCTACCCATGGGAGGAGGCATGAATGGTGGCCTCTGTGTAAATTCATATAACAGTAACAATGTCACAGGACTGCCATAAACAGTTTGCGTTCATATTCAGTATCACTTGACTGCACAGCCTCAGCAAGAAAAGACTTAGCAACAGTATTCAGTGCTGTTCTAATACAGTCCACTGAAACAATGTTGCAAACTCTGGCCTGTTCTACACTTAAAATTTAGATTGACATAGCATATTCAGGGGTTATGAAAAATCCTCAGCCTTGTGGAAGAATGCTTCCATCCACCTAGCTCCGTTGCTTAGGGAAGTGGAATGCCCCCAGTGACAGAAAATCCCCTTCCATCTACAATACAGGGTTAACAGTGGCAGAGCTACAGCATGCAGCTATGCCACTGTAGTGCCCATAGGGTAGCCATGGCCTCAAATAGCAATACCAAGGCAAGGGCCACATCTTATGACAAGTCAAACCATAGCACAGAGAACAACTTTAACAAATACTTCAAGCCTTGAGGTATAAACTAAATGCAAAGCAGCAAAGAAGTGGCTGTATAAAGAGAAGAGGCACGGGGTGGAATAAATGATTCCCCCCTCATTGAAGAGAGAAATAAAAAAACATCCCTACAGGAGATGCAAGTGAAAGAAAACAGGAGAGAGAACGTGCTGAATAACTGTCTTCCAGGCATCAATAGCTAGAAATCATTTGAATTCACTGTAAAGCCACAAGACAATTATACAATGAGATATACAAAGTGGGGAATGAGCAGGTGTACCATGGCAGAAGCAGACAATTCATTACAATCCATTATACCTTTTAATTATCTACCTGCTAATGTTTTACTATTAAGATATTAAGGGGAAAGTGTACAAATTCAACAAAGTAGAGATATCAGCTGTGAATTTTTTTTTTTTTGTAAAGCACTTAACAGATGATCCAGCAGAGGATTAGTTCAACTTAAGTCATTATTATTAAATGTCCAAAGGTAGCAAAAAAATCTTAATTTTAAAATGCTTAATACTAATTGGATACACCCCAATATAATTCTAAATTCTTATTTCATGCATGCCCCCCATAGTACGTGAACTTTTAACATAGTGATACTCAGACCTCAGTGGTTCAGGAGCCAAACTAGAGATCAACATTACCCAAAAGAGCATCAGTAGTGTGAATTCATTGCTTCATTTACTATACATTCATATTTAAACAGTAATGCAGGGGAAATATTTAGTTTATATATATTCTCACAGAAAAATGACTGACCAGGTATTACTATTTTTATCAACTACAATTGATTAACAACATTATAAAAGCATCCTGATTGGTTAATAATTGAATCACAGTGCTTTAATATCATGTGTTGCAAAGAGCTGCAGGAGACACATTAAAGAGCCACTCATGGCTTGCGAGCCTCAATCTGAGTATCACTGTTTTAGCATAATCGCAAAGCAACAACTCTCCTGTTGGTAAGACTGAGCATTTCTTTCTGTTTAAAGGTTGACTATTCTACGTATTCTAAAAAACATATGTATATTCTGATTGTTTTGAAATTTGCTGTGCTATATAGTGTAAGCAGTTCAAATTTGGGGTCATTTGAGCCGGGGCTCCCCAAAATACAGATCCCCTAAAACACAGCATTTTACAAAATCATCTGGTTCGTCTACTTTTTTTGTGCAAAACTGGACTCAAACTAAGGCTCTGATCCGTCCCAAACTGATCTTAGTCACTCAGGATTTATCTTAGCATGTGCCCCCCACCCCCCGGCCCTTTCAGGAAGCAATACTGAAAAAGTTATTGAGGGCAACGTTTGTAACTCTAGTTTGACACAAGCATCATGGATGCTTTTAAACATATATATGCTACGAGACATGGGACTCTGTAAAAACAGGTCTGCAGGCAGCCTGCTGTGAGAGTGAATAGGTGGCTCAAGATGACATGCTGTCATCACTGGACCTTAGCTGCACCCAGGCACTGAGAGTTTAAGGCCTACCCTAGGCAGTTTTCAGGAAATGCATTTTGTGCAAGTTCCTTGCTCTCTGCCTGCATTTTGCAGGGCTCTTTAGAACATTTCACCCAGAGGTCCAAATTTCTGGTTTAAAAGTGATATTTTAAAAATGCTATGAAATCTACATGTAAACTCTGCTTTTACTTTAAAAGTAATGGCAAGAACTTAAAAACAAGACAGTGAAGATAGTAAGTGGTTAGAGTAACATAATCATGACTCAGTCTTCACCCCTTCCTGTACAATGGAACTTAATGCGATCAAAGGAAAGCATATCCTGTGTCATCTGGTCAAGGGTTCTTGATACACAGCTCCACTAGCATGAGCTGATCATAACTTCTTCTGATTCTTATAACTTTTTTTGGTGGAGAGCAAGGGAATATGGAATGTGTGTGTATGAATCAGAGTAGTGCCCGGGGGGGTTGGGAGGGAGTGGGATGAAGGCTCTGCCCCTCAGGGTTGTGCTCTGGCACAGCTACTGAGGGGACAGAATACCCTAGATACCAACCCTTATTTATGTAAGAGATCAAACACTATGTTTTTGAAAACCCAGTTGGATGACTTAAAGCTTTGATAAAAAAAATGGGTTTCCAAAAAAAGTATTTTTTCTACAATTCCTCAACAAATAAGGGATCATCCGCTGAAACCTTTGCTCTCTGGCAGCTCAGAAGCACGAACAGAACATTACCATAAAGGGTGGGCAGTTGGGCACCTTCCCCTCCAGTGATGTGCTTGGAGGGAAAAGAAGTGGAGTCATCTGTGCACAATCCTCCTCCCTCCCTTACAAATTCCTTCCCATGACTCCTCCACGAGCCTGAGAATCTAGAACTCCCCACCTTCCCCATGCTACCTCCAGCAGTGGGAAAGGTGCCAGGCTCACCCTCCTAAACACCAGGAAATACACAGTTAAGGTATATGCCATCACCACAACACAATCTTAATTCCATTCTGTCTGAGCAAAACCGCAACACACCCATAACACACATACAAGCACTCTATCCTTGGAGATGCTGCAGAACACTCAGGGAACTGCACCTACAAGCACTGTAGGACAAAGTACATCTCTTTGCTAAGACAAAACTCTGGTTTAAGTCAGGCATAGCAAACACGAGCTAACTACACAGACTGAGCCCACTCCAGAGCAACCAACCCAAATTTGCTAAATATTACAATCCTTTCACTAGACTGGTGGCAATCCACATGACAAGATGACTGTGCGCCACTACTGACACACCTCTACAGAACCCGTGTTGAAATTAGGCCTGCTTGATCCCTCAAGGTACATATGCACCTCTTTTCATATCACAGTAACAACTCTTCCAAACTGCTCCAACTAAGCGATCCACCTTTCAATACAACCACATCTAACACAAGGAATGCAGCTGGAGTGCATGCAGATAAATGTTGGAATTAAAAACTGTTGATCACAACACAATGGGACAGTCTCCTTTTTATTCTTCATGTCTTATTATAGCACCACCCTTACTAAACCATTTCAAGTGGCTAAGGCCAGCTCCAAGGAGCAGTTATATTGCGGGGGTGGCATGTACCTTAACTTTCATGGTTTTCTGAGGTTTAATTTGTGTTAGCTCTACTCTTCATTACCTGGTTTTCAAAAGTTAGAGGGTAGTTGACCTTGATGATCTGGAAGGACACAAGGCACTACCAGAGAATTTTACCTCTGCACTACTGGAGTTTTTTGTCAATGAACTCATCTTAACTGTGCACATGATTCCATTATGTTTGCCTTTAGGAACAATGTGAAGGATCTTCTATTATAGGTATTTTTGAACAACATGCAGTGTGATAAAAAAGGATAAGATCAAAACCCAATTAGTTTTAACATTTACTTTTTTCTTTTCCTGCTGTAATCACTTCTGAATGCTGCTGACTTCTTACCACATCCATCCACATCAAAAACAGAAAACCAAACCCATACACTCTTTACCTGTAGATGTGGAGGCCCCATTGGTGGAGGAATCCCTCCTGGAGGTGGCATTGGAGGCATATTAGGATCAAATGGAGGACGTCCAAAGGGAGGACGAGGTGGTGGAGGTGGACCTCTCATCATACCGAAAGGTGGAGGTGGGCGCATGAGAGGTGGTGGACCCCTCATGACAGCGTTTGGTGGGGGAGCTGGGCCACGAAATCTCAGTGCTTGCTGCTGAGCCATTCTGTGTGTAAAGCCAGAAGAAAACTATTTGTGTTTGCTGATTAGTTGCAGGATAGATTAATTTGTGTTACAAAAAGTGAAACTAGTAAAAGCAGAAGGACATGACAAATTTTGTCAAGTTTCAATAGATAAAATTAAAAGTACAAGTACTTTAATAGGTTTTCCCCCCCTCACAATTTAAATTCATTAGAAGTCTGAATGTGATTTTTTTCACTCATGAAAATGAGTGACCTTTAGATTGAACCATCTTAGTACGGACAGGCACTGTGCAAGCTTCCCTCACACAGCTCTGCCAAAGCACTTCAAACATGACCTGAATCACCGTGTCTATCTATAGTCAGATCTTAGGCCTCTCGAGCAATGGCTGCCGATTGTGCCAAGGTTTTTAGTTATTTCATAATGTGAATGAGTGTCCACCAGGGACTTGGATGAGACCATCTGCATCCTTTTCACTTATGACCTAACGGAGGATTTGAACTCTGATCTGCAGTGATGAAAGGCTAATATACTAATCCCAATGTGCCACCCAGCCCACTACACAGGCAGCTTAATAAGTGTATATATAGAAAAAAACGTTCACCTTTGCAACCAACAAACGCTCTTCTGATGCTCTCAGGAAAACAATTTTGCCCACCATTTAGTGCCAGTGCAATACCAATGTTGGCATGATGACTCAAAATTGAAAAAAACAAAGGTTATAAGGTGGTGAACGGCAAAACACATGCAACTCAGCACTCAGATTATATAGACTTCTACTTCTGCTGATTTACGTTTCATATAGCACCTACAGTTTTAGAAACCAGGTGCTGTTTTACATAGGTTTTATAGGGGCAGCCCACTAAGTGGTACATAACTGACCATTGCTACTAACCCTGAGATGCCCAAGAGCAAAACAAAATTAATGTGCTTTGAATGATGCCCCAAAGATCACCAACCTCTAACAGTGATGGAGCACCAAAGGGAGCAAATTCTAAATATAGGGGTACTCTTTACTGAGAAAACTCTTCTGTCAGGCCTGGAAAACATCATCCTAGGAACTGACAATAACAGCATCCCAGCTAATCTTAACGGTGATGAGACAGAAACAAGGCAAATGACAGTCAGAGAGCAAGGTCCCAAACAGCATAGGGATTTATCAGCAACACCATGAATTGTACTGTTAAGACAGAACTATAGTTTTTAGAACACCTATTGCCATAACACCAGGTTATGTGCTCCCAGGAGCCATAATGTTTCCCTAGTCTCTGTTTGCCAGAAGCTGGGAATGGGCGACAGGGGATGGATCACTTGATGATTACCTGTTCTGTTCATTCCCTCTGAAGCACCTGGCATTGGCCACTGTCAAAAGACAGGATACTGGGCTAGATGGACCTTTTGTCTGAACAAGTATGGCAGGTTCTTCTGTTCCAATTAAGTAAGGCCAGGAAAGCTATTTTACCACTCATGCTGGCATTAGTTCCTGTCTGTTGTGCCGGGCATCAGAGAGCGTTACTTTTATTTCAGATTTCTGTTGTGGTACACCCCAATCAGGATGAGAGTCCCAGCGTGTTGGTTGTATTTCAACCCCCCCACCCCCCTCCAAAGACACCACTCCTACCCCAAAGGATGGAATGATTTAGTTCTAGCTTTATACAATTACTAACAAGGGGGCAACTCTGCAGTTTGGGATGCATGGAAGGAGAGCACGAGTCAGAGAAAAATCAAACATGACAGCCACAGCTGCATTTGCCCCTTGAGGCCCTGGACACCGTGCGTCTCGCCAGGGGACACAGCTAGTGGTGTGCTTAGCCTACAGGCAGCGCCTGCTTCCCAAGGCAGCATGCTGCAGGGAGCTCAAACGAGTCGCCGGGCCCGGTTGCGCGGGGAGCAGAGCGGGGTCGCCGGGCCCAAAGGGGGAAGCACGGAGGGGGTGGGAGGGAAGGATCCGCGGGGAGGAGGGGGCACAGAGGGATGGCGGGGCCCGGGGGAGGGTCTGCGGAGGGAGAGAGGGAAGGAGCTGCCGGACCCAGGGCTCACGGAGAGATTGCCCGGCGCGCCATGGGGGAGAAGCGGAAGACCCTGCGAAACCACCGGGAGGGAAGGGTGGGTGCGCGGGACCACAAGGCCCTGGGGGAGGAGCCTGCAGCCGCAGGGGTCGGTGGGGGAGGCCCGACGGCCAGGCCGCAGCGCGGGGCGTGTGAAACCCCGCGCTTCCCTGTCCCTGAAGCCCCGCCGGGCTGCGCTACCTGATCTCATTATTGTACCGCTCCGCCGCCGCCCCCGCGTCTCCCTCGCCGCCGCCAGCCCCAGCGCCGCCACCGCCTCCTCGGTCCGCCATCGCCGCCTCACCAGCCCCGCCGAAGCCGCCACCTCCGCCGCCAGGCCGCGCCCCACGTCATTGGCTACCAGGACCGTCGCTCACTAGACGCATGGGCGGGACCTAACCAGCATTGGCCATCGCGCCCGCCGACTTTGAACGAGGGAAGTAAGACAAGCTGTGATTGGCTGCGAGAAGCCGTCCCGCTCCCCTGAGTGGCCCAGGCGACCCATGTCACGTGACCCGTGACCCGCGGGGAGACCGGAACTGATCTCACATAAGATGCCAGCCAATCAGAAAAACGCAAAGAAAAATACAACCAATTCAAAGATAGGGCGAATAGGATACTAACCAATCAAAGATCAGAATGAGCTATGTGCCGGCCAATCAAAAAACAAAATGACGTAGCATGCAACCAATCATAAAAGGGGATAGGCTCCAACTCTAACCAATCGGAGACCCTCTGGCAGTAGCGAGCGTGCCAACGAAGCAGGAAACAAAGTTAAGATATTCTAGCGAATCAGGGAACAGAGTTAGGACATTGCCAGCCAATCAGCGAGCGGCATTAGCATTATTGTCTGATTTACAGGCTACATGCGTGAGTTACTGGCAGGGACACGCAGGGCAGGTGGCGGAGACGGAGGCGGGCTGGGTGGCTGCACCTGCTGCGGGGGGTGATTGCCTCCCGGTGCCCCAGCAAGGAGGGCAGCACCCTGCGCTCCTAGAGTCGGGCTGGCTGCCCGGGGAGTTCAGGGTGCTGGGGCTGGCCTATGGAGAAAACCATTGACAGGCTGGCAGCTGCCCCACGGCCTGCTCTAGATGCCAACACTTGGCAGCAGGGGTCATTCTGCTGGGGGGGAGGCTGACTGGGAGAAGCTGGCTCTGCTGAGCTAAGCAAAGCTCCCATATACTGAGTGAGTGTCCCCAGCTCCTATGGCAACCACCTCCCTTTTTGAGGATGGCAGAAGGACAGGGATATCTTTAGTTGATTTCTTATGACTAGATTTCCTGTAGTTGAGGCATAGTGCTTCTGCTGCAATGCCCCTGAGAAGCGAGGGGGAGGATAAGTAGCAGCCCCCATCCCACCTTTAAAACCCCACATATGCTTGGGATCATAACCTTATTGGCACTTCCATTCTCCCCTTCCTACATTGCCATGTCCAGGAACTAGCGGTATTGGGGGTTTACAGGGTTTACATTTTTGTTCAATAGCTTTCAGCACCCCACTATAAGAATTGTTCCAATGCCACTGACCATGTCACGTTGAATTTCATTTGCACACTCTTTGGGGCCAGCTGCCTTTTGGCAAGTACAGTTTGGAGTGCTTGAAAAATAAAATCAAGATAAAATAACTCCACCTGCCCAGCAACAATAAATACAAAATACATAAATCAATTTTGTGTGTGTGTGAAAGAGACGGAATATATAGGAGACCGTCCAGCACAGTGTATGTTGGAAGAGTATCTGCACAGTAAATTTCAAACTAAGGCTAAACATTGTTCCTGTAAAATTACATTGTATGACAGGTGGGTAACTGTACATACAAGTGGAGTAACTGCAACTTATTTTTGTGTCCAAAACCAGTTTTGATATCCACGATCCATGACCCATGCTATCCACGTTTTAAAAAATTGCCCCTATAGGTCTAAATTCTCATCTCAATTCACTAAGTATAGCTAGCAAGTAAAAATTATAAATATATTGAAATGCAGGATTATCTATCCAAGTGAATGAGAAAGTACCACTTCTTCTTTTAAACAAACAGTCTTTATTAATTAAGGCCCTCACTTCAGAAGAATGTGTATCCCCTATGTTTGGTTTAGACCTTAATTATCTGTGCACCATTGGGTTAGCTGAGGTATCTCAAAACTCTTCCTATAGTTTTCTGGTAGTATAAGTGTGTGGGGAAAACCAGCATATGTTATGCACATAAGTAATACCCTTTTTACAGCTTTGGGTATTAGAACCTATTGCTGAGAAAGGAAATGTTTGCCAAAATAGTGGGATTATCTCCCTGCAAGTGCTATGGGATCTTTAATGTGCACATCCCAGACACAGGCAGAAGAGAACTGTAGTTACCCGTGCCTCGCCTTTTCCAGTTACATCCCCAACCCTTTCCCCTAAGAGTGTAGCTAATAATTTGAAATTTATACATGAACTGGATGTATTGCCTTCAGCTACACACAGTCAGATTAGTAAAATGCTAGCTAGAACTAGCTAGTTAATAATAGGTCTTGCTAAGAACAAAATAACCCTGACAGCTGACATAAGAAATGTTGCTTATGGGAAATGAAAAATTATATGCTATTGCAAATACCACCCACAACCACCCTGTGATGGGTTGGACCCCTTAGGATGCCATCTGATGTGCTGAGATACCACTGAGCCCGCCTATTATGTCAGCCTGGGACCCTTTTTACCTGTCTTGCTGCAGAACGAAACAAGAGATCAGTTCTGGGAAGGCTCAGCTTAAGGGACTTGCCCCAGCACTCAGGTGTCCACCTCCCTTGGAGTGCAGACCCAAAGGTATATTATGAAATCCGCCTCCTCCTTCAAGGTGGAGGAAGGTATGCACAACTTCTTGCCTCCCCCGAGTTAGAAATTACAGAAACTGGGTTTAATAAGAAACCAAACACATTTTATTAACTATAAAAGGCAGATTTTAAGTGGTTAAAGGGGTACAGAACAAACAGAACAAAGTAGATTACTAAACAAATAAAACTAAGCTTGTTTCACTAAAGAAATTGGTTACAAATAGTAATTTCTCACCCTAGATATTGTTACAGGCAGATTACAGAAAGTCTTGAAAGGCAGATGCACTGGCCTCCAGCTTGAAACCTCAGTTATTATTACTCATTAGCTGGACATCCTTGCAACTTGGGCTCAATCCTTCTTCCACTCCCATTCAGTTCTTGCTTCCAGATCTTTTTCAGTGTCTCTTAGGGTGGGGAGGCAGAGGAGAACCATGATGATGATGTCACTCCCCTGCCTTATATAGCTCTTATGTAAGGCGAGAACCCTTTGTCTTCCAGTAGAAAACCACTGGCATTCCAAAAGGGGAGGAGGAATATCCAGTTCCAGGTGACTCGGATCCATGTCTCTGCATGGCTGTGGCAGCCATTGCTCGTAGGCCTGTCTCCAGCATCCACAGGAAGACTAAGGGCTAGTCTACACTGGCAACGTTAAAGCGCTGCCGCGGCAGCACTTTAACGTGGCTTGTGTAGTCCTGGGAGAGCGCGCTCTAAATAAAACTCCACGAGGGGCATAGCTACCAGCGCTGGAAGCTCGGCTCCCTGCGCTGGTGCACTGTCTACACTGGCACGTTACAGCGCTGAAACTTGCTGCTCTCCAGGGGGTGTTTTTTCACATCCCTGAGCGAGAAAGTTGCAGTGCTGTAAAGTGCCAGTGTAGACAAGCCCTAAGCCCTTTCACAGTCCATTGTCTCTGCTACTGGCCAATTAGCCCTGTCTGGCTTTTCCATTGTTGCACCTGAAGGTTTGGGGTGACACCCAAAGTGACACATTTGAAATACAGATACATAGTTAATATTCCTAACTTCAGATACAGAAATGATACAGTCATACCAATTGGATAATCACATTCAGTAAATCATAACCTTTCCAATGATATCTCACGAGCCATCTTGCATAAAGTATATCTCAGTTATGTCATATTCATATCATAAGCATATTTTCATAAAGAATATGGAGTGAAATGTCACAACATCCATCCTGTATTTGCATTGGGCATGAGCTCAAGTTTGAATACACAGCAAGTGACTGTGCTAAAAGGATCCAACTCATGGCTCTGTAAATGACTAGAGATCCCATAATTGGAGTATGAGATGATTGACATGGAACCAAACTCTCTTCCAATTTTCTACTATATTTTGCTGCAAAAGCTGATTTATAAGATACATTTTTCTCCCATCTTCCCTCAGATCAAA